GAAAGATTTATATGAACTGATGCAGAGTGAAGTAAGCAGAACCAAGAGAATAATTTACACAGTAACAGTAACAATATTGTAAAGATAATCAATTGTGAAAGATTTAATAACTGATTAGTAGTGATACACAATGCCAAAGGACTCATAATGAAAAATGCTATCCACTTCCAGATAGAGAACTGATGGATTTGGAGTGTAGATTGCAGCATTTTTTAATCTTTTTCTTGATTTTTTTTTTCCAGAACATGGTTAATGTGTTATTTTGCATGACTTCATATGTGTAATGGTATTTGTATTTCTTGCCTTCTCAGTAGGTGGAGGAGGAAGTAAAGTGAGTGAGAGAATTTGGAAATGAAAAAAAAATAGAATAAAATAAAAAATAAATAAATTTTTAAAAAATATATGATAGAATGTTCCAAATCACTAATAATGTTAGAAATGCAAATAAAAACAACTCTGAAGTTTTGCCTCATACCTAGCAAATTGGCTGAGATAATGAAAGAAGGCAATAGTCAATGTTGGAAGGGTTATGGAAAGATGGAAAAGCAATTTGGAATTATGCAAAAAAAGTGGCTAAATCATCAATCCTTTGACCTAGAGATTCCATTGATAGGCATGTATCCCAAGGTGGTCATTGATAAAAAGAAAGTCCAATATACACAAAATATTTATAGCAGCAATTTTGTGGTTGCAAAGAATTGAAAACAAAGTAAATATCCATCAATTGGGGAATCAAAATATGGCACATAAATACAGTATAATGGAATATTATTGTGCTGTAGGAAACAATATGATGAATACAGAGAATTATGGACTTACATGAACTATAAAAGTTCAAAGTGAGGTAAATAAGGCCAAGAAAGCAATATACAGAATGACTTTTGTTGTTGTTGTTCAGTCATGCTGACTCTTTGTGACCCCAGTTGGGGTTTTCTTGGCAAAGATACTGGAGTGGTTTGCCATTTCTCCAGCTCATTTTACATATGAAGAACTGAGGCAAAGAGAGTTAAGTGACTTGCCCAGGGTCACACAGCTAGTAAGTGTCTTGAGGACATATTTAAACTCAGGAAGACAAGTCTTCCTGACTCTTGTCCCTGCAGTCTAGCCAGACTTATGGAAAGAAAAGTAGAATGAAATCCAAGAACTGCAGCAAATGAGAGCGCAATGATTTACAAGGTAGGAGAGCAGATTGGGTTTGGGAGATGTTCTGCTCAGCTTCAGAGGAATGGTTTGGTGGTTAAGATAAAATAAACAAACTTAGAAGTGTTGTCCACAGTCAGCCATGGTGCCATCAGTGCCATTTTGACCTGTGGAGTCACCACCTTCCCACAGGAACCCAGGAAGGATTCCTTTAAGGCAGGATCTCTTGTATCCAAATCCTCTCCCTGCAGGGCTCCTTATCCATAGGATTAGCCATGGCTTTGGATAGTTGAGTTACAGTGGTAGGCAGCCACCAATGTCCAGTGGGCTCAGTGAAGCCAGGAGCACTCAGTTGCAGTGTCTGCAAAAGCTCAAGTGTATTTACCACCTTAACACTCCAAAGTTATACTTTATAATGAATACAAACAAGTTGTTCTGGAAAAAGCATTGGTTTGGGAGTAAGAACATCAGTCTTCTGATCCTGTCTTTGTCATTTACTGCCTGTGTCACCTTAGATAAGTCACTTCTGTTTCCTCATTTATAAAAGGTTTGCCTACATAATTCTTAGTATCCCAATTTCCAGCATCAAGGCTGGGGCAATTCAATTATCTCCCCACCTCTTCCCACAGAATATAAGGTCCTTAAGAGCAAAAACTGTTTCATTTAGGACTTTGTATTCCCATCACCTAGCACAGTGCCTGGCAAAGTGTTGATTTTTTTTTCAATCTTTTTTTAAACTAAAATTTTTTTTCAATCAAGAAAATCTATCTTCTCTTGTTCCTACCTCTCTCTCCCTACCATTAGAAGAGAGAACCTGGGGGTGCAGTGGATACAGCTCTGGCCTTGGAGTCAGGAAGCCCTGAATTCAAATATGACCTCAGACATTTACTAGCTGTGTGACCCTGGGCAAGTCATTTAACTCCGATTGCCTTAGCAGAGACAGAGAGAGAGAGAGACAGAGACAGAGAGAGAGAGACAGTGAGAGAGAGAGAACCTGTACAAATATGTATGGTCAAGCAAAACAAATTTCCACATTAACCACATTTAAAAAAAGTCTCAATCTGCACTTGAGTCAATCAACTATCAAGAAGCAGGCAGCATGTTTCATCACGAATCCTCTGGAATTAGGGTTGTTCATTACATTGATCAAAGATCAAGCTGTCTTTACAATATTGTTATTTTATGAATTGTTCTCTTTGAATCAGTTCATATAAATTTCCCCAGTTTTCTCATTGTGATTGGTTGAAACAAACAGATGACATTTATTATGTAATGTTTTCTAGCTTAAAACATACTTTACATCCATTCTCTCATTTGATACTCACAATGACTCTTTGAGATAGGTAGTGCAAATATCTTCAATTGAACAATGATAAAACTGAAGCATAGAGAGGCTGGCAAGTGGCAAAGCTGGAATTCAAACTCATCTTCTGTCTCTAAACCGAGTACAGTTATTCCTTCCAAATCTCAACTTTCCCCATTTCAATATATCTTGGGTTGGCATAAGAAATTAAAGGAGAAATTTTCGGGGAGTTTTGCGGAAGCCAAAGATGACACTATGAACAAATACTTAACCCAAATTTTACGAGGTACTATAAACACTCAACAAAAGAAAAAGAAAAAAATTTAGACTTCTCTGGTACAAAGGGAAGGCCAAAAAATTTTACACAGATTTTCCAGATCATGGGGGTACTGCGTCCCTAACCCCTGAGAAGTGGAAGGGATAACTGTATTCTCAAACAGTTGTGTGAGAGTCAAATAGAAATAGGATCATATGGTTTAAGGATAAGGATCATTGTGGATATTGACTTAGAAAACCACATACTAACATTATCTATGTTCTATGGCATTTTTGTTTCATTAAATATTTTCCAATTACATTTTAATCTAATTCCTGCCAAAATGAGGAGCAAGGTGGACTGCACATATAAAGACAGGAATGCTTAAGCAGGCAGGTTTGCTATTACCTTAACTTTGTCTCTATGCCTTCCCCCTACCCAGTCATCTATAAGGAAAAGTAAAAAGGGTTTTTGGCCCTGGAACTTCAGAACTCTTGGAAGTTATTAAGCAAGCAGGCCCTTCGTGGCTAAATATTTAAGGGTGGGACAAAGAATCTCCTCCTGCCTGGAGAAGACTGATCTTACTGACAACACCCAAAAGAGAACAAGACAGGTCTTCTTTAATGAGAAAAGCCAGGAAGCTGCCCCACCCCACCCCCCAGGCAATTAGGATCAAGTGACTTGCCCAGGGTCACACAACTAGTCTGAGGCCACATTTGAACTCAGGTCTTCCTGACTCCAGGCCTGACCCTCTATCCACTGTGCCACCTAGCTACACCTAGTTTTTTTTGTTTTGTTTTTTAGAGAAAGCTAGTAGTAGTAATGGCATTATTACTACTTAAAAATTGTCTGGTGGTCGATGTCAAAGAATGAAAAACACTTTTATCTGATGGCACATGACCATGACCACCATGCATCGCACTGACATTAGTCTTACCTCCAATAATCCAAAGACACTGTACCTCAGCCAAGATGCTCTATCTCCTGATTCTGGGCACCTTCCATGGCTGTCTCCCAGGCCTGGTCTTCTCTCCCTCCTCCTCTCTGCCTCCTGATTTCTTAAAGTCTCACTTTATGGCAGAAGCCCATCCAATGTCGTCCATTTTAGGGCCAAGGCAGCTACGGGGCACCACAGTGCATAGAGCTCTGGGCCTGGAGTCAGGAAGCCTTGATTAAATCCAGCCTCAGATACTCACTAGCTATGTGACCCTCAGCATGTCATTCAATCTCTGCCTAGATATTTCCTCATCTGTAAAATGGGAATAATAGCACTTCTCTCCCAGGGTTGTTGTTCGGATGAAATGAGACAAGAACTGTAAAGCACTTAGTAGTGCCTGGCACATGGGCCTTAATAAATGTTTCTTCCTTTCTTTCTTCCTTAGTGCCTATCCTCAGGTAAATAAATTAATTTATCCTGTATTTATCGCTGTCTCCTCCATTACACTATGACTCATTGAGAACAGGGACTATGGAGCTTTTTTTGGGGGGGGGGGATGGTTTGCCTTTCTTAGTGCTTAGTACACATAATAATGTGTGCAAATAATATGCCAATAATAGCTATTTTTAAATGCTTGAGGACTTAACTTAGAGATGTGTTCTGACTGCACTGGCCCCTCAAGTCACATTACTCTAATGTGACACAACTGGCATGCTTTCCCTCTGTTATCATTTAGAGCACAAATTAAGATGAAGCTCTGGAAGGATAAAGACAGAGACTGGAACTGTGATTTCACTACATAAGGCAGAGGTTGTCAAACTTGGGCCCTGTAGCATGCTGCCTGCAGGGATCCCGTTCTATCTTAGTGTGACGCCACTGGTGTAGGGAACTCCTCAGTGAAAAAACTGCCTCTCCCAATGCAGGCTGGCACCTTCTCTGCAATTTGTAATATGAGAGAGTTGCTGTCCAGGGCATTAAGTATCTTGGCCAGGGCCACACAAGCCAAAAAGTTTCCCAAGTGGTACTTGACCCCACTTCTTCTAGGTTCTGGGGCCAGCTCTCTATACACAACAATGCATTGTCTCTCCAAGAAGTGTAACATGGGTAAATTCTTTGAACAAAACAACAGGAACTAAGGTTTTCTATAACACCTTTTTAGCTAGTACTCTCCCCATCCAGTTTATTTTCTTCATGGCCATTATTCCTTCATCTGAGGGAGCTTCAAAAAGTTTCCCATAGTTTATACAGACTATTATAATGTTAGGATAAAGAAAGCTGATAAAGATCTATTAATTCCAAAACATCAATGAAGTACATTATAGTTCAAGAAAAAGATAGAACAAAATAAAAAGAGTACAAATAAATTAAAAATCAAAAGAACTATGTAAAAAAACTGCTTTTGAATGTATGGAGTACATGACAACATTTTAAAATCTTACAATGAAGTAAAAGGAAGGTAGTAAATGTTTCAAATAGCTATGAACATAGTCTAGTTATTGTCTTCTTTCTTGAACATTCCTGCTACTTTCTCAATTTAGGAGGCACTTGACACTGCCAACTTTTTCAAATGATCCATGAACACTTGTAGACTAACATCATCTGTTAATATTGGAGCTCCAGATTCCTGAAAACCAAAAAATAAAGATATTTTAGGTTGCTGTTTTGTTGGGGTTTTTTTAAATAAAAGATTATAAATTATGAGGAGATTACAGGGGAAAAAAAAGAAATTACCTTGTCAAACACACAACTCAGTATAAGGTCTAAATGGATTATTTTGCAAAGGCATGAGAATTCCATGTCCAAACCTTTCCCTTTCTCTTCTGGTACCCAACTTTCTACATAAACAGTAGATAAACAGCTTCCTGTTTCCCCAAGAAAATTCAGATTATCCAATTTAATCCAATTCAATTCAACAAGTATTTACTAAGTATCTGTTTGCAGAACACTACGCTAGGCATAACTCAAAGAAAGCTTACACAAGACATGGTTCCCTGCTCTCATAGATCTTACAGTCTGGCAGGGTGACAGAACAGATACATACAAAAGCTATAATATAAAGTATCACATAAGTGAAATACAGAAGCAAAAAACAAAATACTATTATGTGAGAGCCGTAGAAATAAGGTCATTACTATGGATAAATGATCTGAGAAATTAATGTTGAGATGGCATCTGAGCTGGGCTTTAAAAGACATAGGAATTCAGCTGGTAGAGAGGGGAAGGATGATGAGATTAAGCTTCAGAACAGCCTGAGCAAAGACAAAGGAAAGGGTAGGATGTACTTAAATACAGAGTATATAGAGGAGAGCAGTGTGACATAAGGCTATAAAGACACAAGTGGTGCCAGATTCTGAAGGCCTCTGAAGGCCAGGAAAGAGAATGTGAATTTAGACAATAGGGAGTGCCTGGAGATTCAAGATCAGAGACATGATTAATGATATGATAGTCAACACCAGCTACCCTCCCTCCTTCCTCAGAATCACCACCTGTTCTCTCCTTTCACCTTCTGGTTTCAGAAGAGGTCACCCTACTCCTCACAAATGCTAATCCTTCTCTTTACCCTTAATGCCAGTCCTTCCGGCTTTCCTTCTTATAGATTTTCCTCTAGCAATCATGTCACCACCCTACCCCACCTTGTTATAAGAATCTTCCATCCCTCCCTGTCAAATGGCTCCTTCTCATTTACCTACAGAAACACTCGGGTCATTCAAATCATAAAACTATCTTGCCTGGATCCTTGAATCCCATCTCACTCTTTCCTTTCCTGCTAAACTTCCTGAAAAAAGTTGTCTACATCCAATACCTCTGCTTCCTCACAAAGTAATTCTTTTCTCTTTGCAGATGTGGTCAGCGTCAACATTCTACTGACAATGCTCTCTCAAAGGCCAATGGCACCCTCATTTTTTCAGTCTCCATCCTCTTTGACTTATCTGCAACCTGTTACACTAATCACTATTCCCCTCCCCCTATTGTATAACCTCTCCGTTCTGGACTCTCCTCATTCTCTAGATTCTTCATCTTTCCCCACCTCTCACATAGGTGTTTCTTAAGGGTTTAGTCTTAGTTATCTTTATTCTTTCTTCCTGAGCAATTTTACTAATTCCTACAGCTTCAACTGTGCAGATTACTCCCAAATTACTATCTTTGGCACTGATATCTCTTCTAAGCTCCCAGACCTGCTGCCTATACCACCTCTCTAGTTGAATTCATCAGTTTAACAAATGCTCATCAAAAATCCATTGCGTGTAAAGCACTGTACCAGCTGCTAAGGATACAAAAGCAAAGGCCTCTACTCTAAAGGAGTTAACATTCTACTGGGGGAATGTAACATTTACATAAGTAAATACAAAGTCTGCACAAAGATGAATGCCCCATCAGAAGCTTAAACTCAACATATTTCCTAATTCAACTTATCTTTCCCTCTCAACCTGCTCTTTTGTGGGTGGCACCAATGTTCACCCTAACTCCTGTGCTTAAAACCTCAGCATTATCTTTTGATTCTTTCCTTTCCCTTAACTCTCACATTCAACCAGTTACCAAGGCTGCTTATTATTATTCTACCTCTACAATTTCTTATTTCTATCCCTTCTATATCCTCACTCCTGGCTTCTTATTATTGATATTATTATTATTCTACCTCTACAATTTCTCATTTATATTCCCTCTATATCCCCACTCTCTTCCACCTCTTTATAACCGGGTTCTCTTTTTTTTTTTTTTTTTTTTTTTTTAGGCAACTGGGGTTAAGTGACTTGCCCAGGGTCACACAGCTGGTAAGTGTCAAGTGTTTGGTCTGAGACAGATTTGAACTCAGGTTCAATCACTACCTAGTTGCCCTAACAGGGCTTTTATTACCACCTGCCTAGATTACCACCATAATTTCCTAACAGGTCTTCTTGTCTTCTACTCCTATTATCTTCAAATATATCCTTCAACACTGTTGCCCAGGGGGCAGCTAGGTGACACAGTGGATAAAGCACTGGCCCTGGAGTCAGGAAGACCCTGAGTTCAAATCTGGCCCCAGACACATAACTGGGCAAATCACTTAACCCCAACTGCCTCATCAAAAAAAAAAAATTAATTAAAAAAAAAGAAAAAACCACTGCTGCCCAACTATCACTAGGGTCCTCAAAAATCTCCACTGAAGAGCAAAGTTCCAATTCATTTGCTTGGTTATTCAAGGATCCCCTGACATCAGCCTCTCTTCCTATCATATTACTATCCTCCACCCATTTTGGTGCTCTAGCCAAACTGGACTGACTAAATATATCTCCTCACTCTATTCCCCATGCTTAGAATGTCCTTCTCTTTATTTATCTGCTGAATTCCTACTCATCCTTTAAAGTTCAACTCAAATGCTACCTCCTCCACAAAAGTCTTGTTTCACCTAGGATCTCACAAATCACTCTGTACTAAAACTTGAAAACTACAATACACACTATTCCAATGCTATTAACGCTCTCCTCCAGCTTCATAACTGGGGAGACCATATCTTAGCTAAACTTTGCATCTTCTCCAGCACTCTTGGCACACTGCCCTGCAAATAACAGACTCTAAATGTATGACGAATGAAAGAAAATTCATCAGATTAATGCCTACTGATTAGTCAACAGCATTTATTGAACACATTGTGTACAAAAAAAAAAAAACATACTAGATGCTGGAGCCACAAACATTAAGCAGAACATACAGTTCCCAATCTGAGTTCACATTCACTTCCACATTTTTAAGTCTCAAGAAGATAACAATTGCATCTTCATGTGATTCTCTCCCTTTTAGTACTTATCCCCCCAAATACAATTTTGATCATTATCAAAGAAATTTAAAATTAAAAGAGACATCTCTTCCACAGCTGCTTCATTTGCTTCTAACCTGTTTACAGGATAACCTAAATATGACTAAGAAACTTTTCAAAATAATTTACAAAAAATAATTCCAAACCAGATTTTCTTAGATAATTTCAGTGACTTCTGGGCAGATATGAATTTATAAATATCAGCTCTATTAATGTAAACTTATTTTAGAGAAAATAATTATTTTATGATTAAAGAAATTTTGTGCTGAGCCTACATATCTACAGTGAAGGCCCAGTACATCATAATAGAATTGAATTTAGCATAATACTATAGTGTGTGGGTATGTGGGTGTGTGGGTGGGTGTGGGTGTGGGTATGTGTGCGCGCGCGTGTGTTCAGGGAGAGAAGAGAGAGACAGATATTTTCACTTAAAGCAAAATCACTAATCACACTTAATCGTTTTAGTTAAAATAATGTTAAGTGCTATAGTGGAGATGATAACCTGATAATGATATTATTGTGAAAATGTTAGTTTAGCCAATGTTATAACTGGGGGCATGCCTAGACAGTCTCTTGATGAATCCTTAACAATTTAGTAAGGAAAATAGTACAAGTAGGTGATATTACTCCTATTGTACTAATGAGAAAATAGATCCACAGAGGTTAAATGACTTGACCAAAGTAATGCAATATGTTAATGTGCTTGAAATTAATGGGAGAAAATATTCATTGGTGGTGGTGCTGGAGAATGCAAGGAAGGGTGGAAGGAAGGGGTGGAAGGGGTGGTGGTGATGGAATGGGAGAGGGAGGCCTAGTCTTGCCATAATTTTGGAAATCTAGTTCCTTACCTGTCCCCAAGCATACAAATTATTGTGTGTCTGAGATGGATTCACTTTGGACAAGAGGAACCGAGCCTTAAAAATATAAAAGTACATTATTTAATGATTATAAATTCTATTTATATATTAATAACATCTGATATTAAAGTTTACAAAGTACTTTTCTCATTACAACTATGTGACATAACTACAATAAACATTATTACCTTCATTTGACATGAGGAAACTGAGGCCAAGAGTTACTTTTCTGAGGTTGCGAAATTAGTAAGTAGAACTGAAGGTTCTTTAACTCCATAAGCAGTGGTTCCTTAGATTAAGTTAATCATCAAATACCTCATTTTTTTAGCTGTAATTTTCCCTGCTAAAGAAGCTGTTTCCTTAATCAGTAACAGTAATAACCAAAACAAAAACAACAATAACTTACACTTGTATGGTACTTTCTAGTTTAAAAAGTCCTTTCCATACATTACTTCATTGAAGCCGTACAACATCCTTGGGATTTAGTTTATATAACAATTATTCCCAATTTACTTATGAAAAAAGTAAGGCCCATAAAAGGTGAAGTGACTTAACCATGACAACATATTCAGTGTCAAAACTAAGAGACTAAGGGTCTAAGAGATATTTTTACTAAATCCAATTTTCTTCCAAATATTTTATTTTGCAAAATATTTCTCTATTTTTAAATCAACTTTTTTCATTATAGCATTATAGCTATAATTTTTTTAAAGCTATTTGGCAAATTTACGTTAAAGGTCTTCGTTTCATCAGTGTGTATTTTCTCTACTGACATTTACTACAATACTTCTGTATCTTAAGAAATTGTCTTCAAGAGTTGCTGGGACCAAAAACAAATTTCTCAGACTTTTGCTAACCTAGTGATGAGTCTCTTTGAACTTACTTGACTACCTCCATGTTCAGTGTTGATGTATCTTGGCATCGGGAATCGAGTTTGCAGGATATCCTGGGCATCATCCAATGGAGCTTGTAGAAGATGCTTGAAATTTTCATACTCAGGCATGTCTTGATAGCCAGCTTTACGCCACTGGGCTATGGTCTACACCAAAAGAAAAACATTTTATGGTAAAACCTTAATGTCTTTTAAAACTTGATTTTCCATGAAATTTATCTGACATTCCAACAACAACAAAAATGAAATAAGGATTTATTCCAACCAGCAAAACTATAAGATAAGGAAATAAAGCTCTAAGGTGATGATAAAGCAGAAGAGATTAGATCCAAAGCATTCCACATCACGAAGGAGTTGATGATTACTATGTTTAAATCATAGAACAGTTTTTCCCTTGAAGATTCTGACATAATCACATATAACTTTAAAATTCACTAAGGTAAAATTCTAAGCTACAAGTCAGTACAGCACTTTTTAATCCCTGGAATTTCTAACTCCGTACCTTTGTTAACATGCTATAAACAAATATGAAACAAAACTCATTACATAATGTTCCTCCCCTCTCCATCATAATCAATTCCCTCTCCTGACCTTTTTTCCTGTCAAGCGTCTCCCACTTCGTAGAAATAAAGCCTAACATCATCTATGAGTACTCTACCTTCTTTTCCAATGCACTGAATCTGGTCACCAAACCTTGTTCAGAAAATCTATTGTGTCTATCCCTTATTTTCTTTTCCTACTACCACTCAAGCCACCTCGTTTAGTAACATAGTAGAAACATGCAAATAAATGAAGGCTACATGAAAGATACTGATTGGCTCAGTATGGGAAATTTTCAGTGTGGGTACTTCCTGCATAAATACAAAATAAAACCTACTGATGATTTTGTACCTAGAGAGACAGAGAGATTAAATGACTTGACCAAGATCATGTTTCTAATAAATGCCACAGGTGGGATATGAACCCATGTCTTCTTAAGTCCAGCACTCCAGCCATTATACCACATGGTCTCAGAGCAACACAGAAAATACTAGTTTAAAATACAATAATTACAAAGATTTTCACCATTTAAAAATTCACTAAAGATAAATCTAGGAGTTTGCTGAGAGGCAAACTTGACCATACGTACTATTCTGTGTCAACTTCCTTATACAGGTGCCATATATTTAACTTGGACTCCAGAAGTTCCTAGAAACCCATTGTTAGAAATGAGGTGACTGATAGGGCCTCATGACAATCAGACAGCAGCACAGCTCATAGAGCACTGGACTTGGATTCAGGAAGACCAGGGTTCAAATCATGCCTCAGATATATACTTAGCTGTCTGACCATGGACCTATCACCTGATCTCTCATTCTGTTTCTTCAACTACAAACTATAAAATAGAGATAATAATAGCACCTACCTCAAGGGATGTTAAAAGGATAAATGAAATAAGACAAGTAAAAGGCTTTGCAAATCTTAAAGCACTAAATAAGTTTTAACTATTATTAACTAATTGCTTCTACTTTAAATCCATCAGAAATGGCGGCTGAAGCTTCTAAGTTGGTGATAGCATCTTATTCAATCTCTTCCTCCATCTTATATGCTTCTTTGTCATAAGAACTCAGCAGTTGGGCACATCCCCCGCCCCAAACCATGATCCAATCTAAGGGGATACATTTCTTCAGGTCACGAATCAGCTAAAAAACTGAGTTACCCTATCCTGGATAATTGCACAAGCAGCAGTAGGAAAAGGGGCAAGGGAAGATGTAGAAAGAACCAAGGAAAATATAAATCCTGACTTTCTTGTGTCTTATTCATTTTCTAGTGCCCCAGAAAACCAACTATTTCTCTGATTTGGTGGGGATGGAGAGTGGGACTTTGAGGGGGTATCCAAGGCACAGAATGAAAAGAAGGGGAGGGAATAAGCATTTATATAGTTCCTACTATTGTGCCAAACACTGTGCTATGTACTTTACAAATATCACGTCAACTGATAGTCACAACAATCCTGGGAAGCAGATGCTATCATCATCCCCATTTTATAGATGAGGAAACTGAGGCACAGATGAAGTGACTTGCCCAATGTCACGTAGCTAGTAAGTATCTGCGGCTGGACATGAACTCAGGTCTTCCTGACTCCAGGTGCAGCGCTCCAGGCACTACGGTGCCTCAGGCATCCTCCAAAAGAGGAGAATCAATCAGTCACTTCTTTCAATAGGCTTCTAGAAACCTAAGCACGCCAAGAAAACAGCTCGGAGAACTTCAGAGTTGGGACCTCAGACACCATCTAGTCCAACCCATCCTCCAGAGGAATCCCCCACTCTCGAATACCTAGCAAACGGTCAGCTGGCCTCTGCCTAAAAACCTCTGCTGAAGGGCAACACCATCTCTAAAGGCATCGTCTTCCACTTTTGGATGGCTCTAATTGGGTTTTCTTTTTTTACATCAGGCCTAAATTTGCCTCTTTGCAACTTTAAATTACATCTCTGTATTCTGTCTCCAAGATTAGTTAATTTAGTTTGCATAGAAATCATGTTCCTTTAGAATTCTTTCCTTTTGCTTTTCTTCTGCCAAGTTTTCTTACACTTTACTATTTCTGTGTTCCAAATCTGTCACTGTTTTTCAGAGCTTCCAATTCTTTGTAAAGATTCTCCATTATTCATTCAATTTTTCCTATTCTGTTTATTGTAATTCTGCAATGAGACCTCTAATTTCTGAGTTAAATTCATTATTAATTTCTTCTCTTACTAGTTCCCTTTTGAATCATTCCTGGAATTCCTCGTTATTGTTCCATTATCTTAAAGGAGCCTACATGACTCTGTCTTTTATTAACAATACTGGTTCACATTTTTTCATATCGTGTTTTTTCAAATGTACTTAGTTTTTTATGAGATTTTACTTATTCTTCTTCCTAGTTTTAGGTTATTGTCTATTTACTTATCTGTTTGTATGCTAAATTTTTATTCGTGTATTCTATTTCCACTAACCTCCATATCTTCTTGTATTTCAGTCTTTTTATTACAGCTTCCTCACTCACTCCTCTGCCTCACTTCCCCTTTCAGTGGCACACAGACCCCTAAGGCTATGCTGCATGGTACCTTCAAATATGAGAGTCTAAAAGAACTGAGTTTCGGGCTTAAATAACATTGTATGAGAAGAATTGGCCCCAGCTGGGTTTCCAGTCCCTTTTCATCAGGCTAAATATAATGCCTCCTACTTGCCTATGGCTCTGAGCACCTCGCTACAGGGCACATTTTTAGTGTGACCCAATTCCTCCATCCCTTTTCTTCCTTTTCTTCATGTGGATGGGCAGAATCAGTGTCTGCTCTATCTTATGAGGTTCAAAGTAGAGTGTTGGGGCAGAAACACAGTCAGAGGAGATTGTTAATTCAGTACTACCTTATTGGGGGTTTCTATCTTCTTATCTTGTGTAATTAATCTAAATTTGGCACATAATTCCATTCTTTTGAGGTTAAGGAGCTGAAGAGGTTTGCAGAAAGTCATTATTCTGTCATCTGCTAATCAAGTGACTCAAACTGGCCTGCATGCTTTCCCCACATATTAGATTTTGTCTCACATCTCCATGCCTCTGCACAAACTTTTATATGTCTGGAATGTATCCCTTCTCACCTTCCCTTCTTGGAAGCCATACTGCCCTTCAAAGCCACTTCCTTCAGGAGGTCTTTCCTGATTCCTCCCATTGTCAATGTTCCCCATTCCCCTCTCTACAAGTCACTTTCAATTTACTTTGTATATATCTTTTTACTTCTATAAACATGTAACCTTCCAGTAAAATGCAAACTCCTTGAGGGTAAGAACTTTTTCATTTCTGGCTTGTACCCCCAATGCCTAGCACAAATACTTGGCATGTAGTAGGCAATTAATAAATACTCGTAGATTTTCTTCAAAAGACAGAGGCTGGAGCCACGGAAATAACTAGGACGATGAAGGAGATAACCGCTAGGTCACTGCAGGAAGCCTGAACCTCAGGGGAAGAGTCTGTAGATCACAGAAAAAAAGGGTTTTTTTTTTCCCTGAGGAGCTAGGGAATAGGCTATGATTACTGAGAAAGTGATGGAAAGGAAAGAATTGTAAGGTCCTTGTAGGCCTTATGACCAAGGAAGGGCTCATGGAGGGGCAGAGAAGTGACTGTTATAAGCCTAGGACTTTCTATCCAAAACAAATCTCTGAATTGAAACTGCTTTCTCCAAAACCTCGAAGAAACAGTCAACTGCCAAGTCCAATGGCCTGTTTTCAAGCCTCATCCTTCTTGATTTCTTTTTATTATGTGATACTGTTAACTGCCCAATTTTCTTACACCTTTCTGGTTCCTGTCTGGCCACTCCTCAGTCACCGTTGCTGGATCATCACCCTTGTCCCATTTCTTATGTGTCGATGTACTCCTTGGCCTATTATCTGACTTGGGCCCTCTTATATTCTCTTTCTACACTTACCCTTGGTGATCTCAACTTAGATGGGTTCAACTAACTGAACAGATAACTGAAACTAAGTAATACATAAGACAGCTAAAATTTACTAGGCCTCCACATTTACAAAGCTTGTAAATGACATAACATAAAAATGACTATTACTTGAGGCACAAACAACTTAGAGATATGAAAAAATGGTACCCTCTGAAAGTTGATCACATTATAAAGGTAACTGTTTCTATCCAATACTTACCAACATCATCATTATTATTCCAGTACTAACTGAAGTCTCAGAAATGTCCATAAAGAATAAATCAGGAGAATGACTATGTCACCTTACCTCACCAAGATAGATGACAATTTGGAAAAAGGTATCCATCAGTAGAATTCTGTCAGCTAAAATGCTGCTGCTGTCCAAAAGTACTGGCTGAGAAAAAGTGAGAAAAAAATAAAAATGGTGAAATTACTAGAAAACTTTATAAATGAAAATTTGTACTGTTTACTACATAACCACGGCTTTAATCTAGGCTCTGTGGATGATTATAAAACTAGATAACCACATTGATTTACATGACAGATCACTGCACTTTCTCTCAATTTATGTATTATGTTTTCTTCTTTCTGCTTGACAATTTTAAATTTCAACAACATGGATTACTATGCTAAATACGTTAAAAAAAAATAATCCCTGATCATCATGAAGGAAGAACAATAACAAACTGAGAAACCACTCCCAAGAACTCTCTGTTGTCTGCTGAAAACTGCTCTTGCTAGTGCTGTTCCAGCTCCAGCCAGTCTGTCAGTCAATAAACATTAATTACTTGCCTACTCTGTGACAGGCCTTGTAGCTGGGTACAAAGAAAGGATAAAACAAAGTCCCTGCTCTCAAGGAACACAGAGTCTGATGGGGAGAGACAACAAGCAAATAACTATGTACAGATAAACTATGTACAGGATCAGTTAGAGATAATCTATCAAGGAAAGGTATGAGCATTAAGAAAAGGAAAGGCTTCCTGTAGAAGGTGAGATTTTAGCTGAGACTAGAAGCAAGCCAGGGAAGTCAGAAGACAAAGATGAGAAGAAAGAGCATTCCAGGCATGAAGGACAGCCAGTGCCATGCCTGGAGTCAGAAGATGGGAGTATTTTGTTTGAAGAACAGCAAAGAGGCCAGTGTTACTGGATCAAAGAGTACGTGGGAGGAGCAATATGTAAGAAGGCTAAAAAATGGGGGTGTGGGTGGACTTGCAGGGGGACAAATTTTGAAAGGCTTTGAATGCCAAACAGAGGATTTGATATTTTATCCTAGAGGTGATAGGGAGTCATTGGAGTTACTGAATAGGTGGGTGACATGGCGAGACCTTCGGTTTAGGAAGATCCCTTTGATAGGTGAGTGGAGGAGGGACTGGAGTAGAGAGAAACTTGGGGCTGGGAGAAGAACCAGCAAGCTACTGTAAGAAGCCTAGCGTGAGATGATGAGGGCCTGCATCAGAGTGGTGACAATATCAGAGATGAAAAGAGAGTATGCAAGAAATATTATGAAGGTAAAATTAGTGGGCTTTGGAAACATTACTATCCATTACTAAGAACTACACTTCCTTTCATATATAGTTTGTTCACAGTATAAAGAAACCAATAGTAAGTCTCGGTGGAAATAAAATTTAGAAATTTACTGTAGAAAATATTTTTAAGCTGCTGTGAAGATGATGATTTAAAATGCCTTACCATATAATTAAGTTAACTGAAAAATCATCATGTAAGACAACTAAAAATAAATTTCATCAAGTCTTACCTCAGGTGGACCATGGAAAGAATAAGAATAAAGAATAGGCTGGATCATGATGAGAGACTGGGTCAAGTCTTGTCTGGCAAAATGATGCCGGTAATAAGATGATTCATCTGGACTGTTATTAAACACTTGAAGAAATGGAGATCTTCGAAGATGGAACATGAACTGCATATTCAAAGAAATATATCAAAACCTCATTATCCCAAGGCCAGATTTCCCTCAAATATCCAGAACAGAGATAAATTGGGGACAAGCCAAAAAAAATCTGCTGAGATGTAAATCTAGTGGTTGAGCCTATAAGGCTTATGAAAAAAGGCTCTCAAGTTGTTGCCATAACACTACTTAATAGGATATGTTATACGATTTCTCAGACCATAGCAGATTGGAACCTAAGACTGCTACAGATGACAGAGAAATGACAGTACAGAGGAAAGAGGAAGAAAAACTAGTGTATTATAAAAGTTGATAAATGTTTAAAATGATGACTGAGTCATAAAGAAAAGGCTACATTATAGTCAGCATATTCTTTTTGAAAAACCACAAAAGTGCTTTTAGCAAAAATTTTCATCAAGTAAATCTTTTTTATTGTAATTCTTTGGGAAAGGGTCAGCTTCAGTGACCTAGACACTTAGCTTCTGTAGAATTAACTCCCCACAGTATTGGATAAACCACTGAAGCACAATCCATAACTTTTATGAGATATTTATTCCTTACCTGAGGATACAAAGAAAATGAGTCAGACAATCTAAAAGAATTGGGGTCCTCTTTGTTATACTGTCCAAATTTCTGACACTGGTGGAAAAACATAAAAAAATACAAGTTAGTCTGACTGAAATAACAGTGATGACACTGAGATGATAACAGGGCTGCTCCTCCTCTTATTGTGCCCCCTTCTCTTCAATGTCACATGGGTCCTGTGGTATATTCTTGTTTTTCCCTACTTCTTCATGCCCATTTCTTTGTGACTGCCTTGTAACCTGGCTGCTGTCTCACCACTTTAATAAAGCTGTTCTCAATAACATCCTTCTTGATAAACCCTGATGAATTTCTTAATTTTCAAAATTCTTGATCTCCTACAACATGTTTTTTGTTTTTGTTTTTGTTTTTTTTTTTGGTGAGGCAATTGGGGTTAAGTGACTTACCCATGGTCACACAGCTAGTAAGTATTGAGTGTCTGAGGTCAAATTTGAACTCAGGTCCTCCTGACTCCAAGGCCAGAGCTCTATCCACTGCACCACCTAGCAATGTGTTCTTAATTAACCATCTCTATTTCTTGAAAAACTCCTCCATTGATCTCTATGAGCTGGCTCCTTTTGCTTACATTTTATAACTGAGTATTTTTCAAAATTTCATCTTTCTCCTGCTCTTCTTGCTTTGTGCTCTTCCAGCTCAGGAAGCTCTTTCTTATAAGAAAGCTATAATAATAATATAATAAGCTTATATTATAATATATATCATATCTGAATATAATCAATATAATATATATATCTGAATATATAATATATAATATTTTATATCTGAATATAACCAATATAACATATATAATAAGCTACAGCTTATTTGCCTGAAAGACATTTTCATCTAGCTCAATGGATAGAACACTGGGCCTAGAGTCTGAAAGATCTGAGTTCAAATCTAGTCTCAGACTCTTACTAGCTTACTAGCTGGCAAGTCACTTAACCTCTTTTAGTCTCAGTTTCCTCATTTGTAAAATGAGCATAACAACAGTACCTACTCTGCTGGATTGTTGGAAGGATCAAATGATAATATTTGTAAAGTGCTTAGCACAGAGCAGGCACTATATAAATGCTTATTCCCTTCCCCCTGCCTCTTTACTCCCCTTTTCTACCTCAAATTCAACAAGTCACAAACCAAGCTAATTACCTTTCCCCTAAAATTGGCACCCCTTTTCCCATCTCTCTCAATGATACCACTTTATTCGCATTCACCCAGGCTTCATAAACTTTTAAATAATTTCTTACTCTTCTTTTTTTAATCGTATATAATCAGCTACTAAACCATGACTTAAGTTGTTACTGATTGAGACTTACATTCTAACTATTGAAACTTACTGATTGAGACTTACTTATTGAGACCTGTTACTAATGTGACTTACTAACCCTAACCCTATTTTACTATTTTAATAATAAATACATATATATGTGTATATATATATATATACATATATATTTATATAAAATCTCAGAACTGAGATTCTGTGTCATTTCTGAACTTATCCGAACCAAAACTAAATTAAGCTGCAGAAAATAAGGTTGCTTCGCAACAGTTATTAATCCTGATTCTTTCTCTGAAAAATCTCTCAAATTCACCTCTCTCCCCATTTCCCTTATTACTCTAGTACAGGACTTTAGTATCACTGCCCTGGACTACTGCAATACCTTCTAATAGCTCTTACGTTGGCAGTCTCTGTCTCCTTCAAGTACTCCATAAACATAGGCTATTATTGTTATTATTTAATCCATCTTTCCCAGTATCACCAGATTTATCTTTTTATGCATAAACCTAGTCACATCATATCACATCACTCTTCTGTTTGAAACCCTTCAATGGTTTCCTACTGCCCTATCAAATAAAAGTTTGAATTCTTTAGACTAGTATTCATTGCTCTTCAAATCCAATGCCACACTACCTCTTCTAGCCCTAACTCTTACTATTTAAGGTCCTTACATATACTCTATACTTCAATCAAACAGGTATATTCTCTGACCTCATACACACTCCATACTTTCCTGCTCTTATCACTTTGCCCACAATGTTTCCAATACCAGGAATACTCTCCACCCACCTCCTTAAGTATTACATTCTTCCCATATCCTTCAAAGCACAAGTTAACCTGGATCCATAAATATTTTGAGAACTGTATTTCAATACTATTGGTCTTCTTTATACTACTACGTATTTTATGCATTTAAAAATATTTTTTGTGAGAAGTTCCCCATAGGTTTTGCCAGATTACCAAAGAGGTCTATGACACAAAAAAGGTTAAGACCCCTGCTGTAGAGCCCAACTCAAATGCTACCTCCTTCAGAAAGCCTTTTCTAATCACCATCAGGAAGACCATGGCCCCATCTTGGAATTCATCTAACTCGTCTGCAACTCTCTTATGTACTTAAAATGTACTTAAGAGTTATTTGTGCATGTTTTATATCCTCCACTAGACTATAAGCTTAATCAAGGTAGTGACTGCCTCTTCTCTCAACTGTCTATCTTCCCCTAGGATCTGAGAAGAGTACTCTATTCATAGCAGGCACCTAACATCTGTTCATTGAACGGAAGTGGAATATAAATTCCATTTTCATCACTTTTACTCTTCTGTTCAAGATCCTATAATGGTTTCCTTTTGTTTATTACATCAAGGCCTTCCCTGTCATAGGACCTGGGAGCACTCAACATACACTAGACATTCATTCAATACTCACTGAAAAATAATAACTTAGGTCTCTCTACCACTTTACAATTTATAAGACATTTTCTTGAATATTTTCAAGTCTGTTTTGCAGATCAGGAACCTGAGGCTCAGAGAGATTAAATGACTTGCTCAATATCACTAAACTGGTAAGAGCCAAAGACTTAACTATCTCTTGATTTCAAATTCACCAATCTGTTCACATTACCATGAGCCTCCAATAATAGATGAATTCCAATTTTATTTACTTCTAATTCAAAATTAGAAAGAAATAATATTATAGGACGTTTTATGTCTTAGGCATTTTTGGTTAACTCAAAACAAAATGAAGTTAAATTATTAGTATGTCTTTTTGGCACAAACACCAGCAAAATCAAGAAATAATCAAAACATAGCTTATCACACCTACCAGTCTGATTAGTTGTCTGTCTAGCCACCGGAGAACATCAGGTCCCTCTTCTGATTCAGCCCTGAACACTCCAAGCCGGGCCATCAATACTGCAGCAGCTTCTTGGTCAAAGGCAGCTTCTATATGCTGGAGCTGATTCTGTGCATCTGCCCAACTGATAATTCCAGAATTAATTTAATGCTATAGCTTAGACTCAAAATACATGTTGTCTTTTAACATTTTTTTTTCTTAAAAGCTGTCTTTTAGGAACTATGTCATATTATATCTTTGTATCTTCAGGAGCTGTTATAGTGCCTTGCACATAGGAAGCCCTTACTAAATATTGGTTAAATTTGAAATTTTTACCAGATTTATACATTATCAACTAACCATTGAAGATAATAACCATTACTTCTATTTTTCTAAAGGAAATATTATAGAAGTAACTTGTACAATATTCCAAAGAATTAACCTGTGGAAGCAAGATTAAAATACATGTCTCCAAAGTTCTAATGCTGTGTTCTATCCCCTAGACCAATATTACAAAGAAGTTAAAAACACTTAACAGCCCATCAGATTGTTTCAGTGGGTTGATTAAAAACACGCAATAAAATGGACGAGTGTTTTTTACTTCTTAGCCTGACATAAATGAGTACTACGCAAGTGAATGCGGCAGCAAATATGACTGTAGTAGCTACTGTGGCCTGTTTTATCAAAGATGGAGATGTGGGTCAGACCATTTAGTAGATTTTTAACAGTTCATTAATAAATAACAGAACCTTTCTTTACAAGGAGAATTATTCATTAACACAACAGAGTAACAAATGGGAAATCCTCACTTTCTGGCAACTGTGGTCACTCGGATTCGTCTCTGGGTGCTGGAATGCTGATACTGGGTAACAAACTGAATGGCTCCTCTGCCTCCTTGAGGTATTGGTGCATTGTGCTATGAGAAAAATGGTGTTAAATTGCTTTGTTATTTTATGTCACTTCTGCAAACACAAATAATTCACAAGCTGCCCCATTCTTATCACAACCAACACACCACGAATCTTCAACAAGCAGCCTGCAAGTATTATGGTAGAAGATCATAAAAGCAATGCTATCTCAAAGACCCTCAAAGCAATTTGCCAATGTACGGACTTAAGTAACCTGTTTATCATGAAGCAGTCCTAGGAAGCATAAGTAAAATTGTGCCAAACTGGGGTCAAGTATATAATCCTACATTAATAATGATATACAGGGAAAGTATTTTAAAGTATTTACCTCCTATTGGGGAAAGATTATGAAAAATGTTAATTTAATGGATATGACATCACCTAAAATGTAGCTGTGATCATCACTTTCTCTGCTCAAAACCCTCAATATGTCTACATTTTTTTTCTGTCCCCTTCTGTGATCTAGGCCTATGATTTTAATAGAATGGGAAACATCCAGTGTGGTTCCTTCCATTGAAGCAGACTGGCAATTTGTCTATGACTTATGGCTTTGTAGAGTTTCTGGGACAAGGAGCGATTAAGTGATCTGTCCATGGTCACACAGAGCAAATATGTGTTAGGTAAGACCTAATCCCACTGTTCTGATTCCAAGGCTAACCCTCTATTCACTATGCAATACTGTCTCTCAGATCTCCACTGCCTGCAGAATAAAAGTCCCAGATCCCAAAGCAAAGAATTCAGATCCTTTATAATCAGGCCTCAAATTACCCTCCCAGGCTTATTTCCCACTATTTAACCTCAAGCATCCTAGGCTCCAGTTAAAATGAACTACTATACTTTTCCCTTCGTTCATGATGTTCTCTTCCCTTGGAAAGGCCTCCTTTCACCTGTCAAATCTTATCCATCTTCCAAGGACTAACTTAAATGCAGCCTGCTCCACTAAGCCTTTCCTGATTTCCCTACACAATTCTGCTACTTGAAATCCTCTCACCTTCCTCCTTTGGACCAACAAAGCATTCTCTCTGTATCACTTTTACAGCACTTATATGCTATCTTGTATCAGAGTTGTCTGCTCAAGCTTCGTACTTTCCCTAGGCTCTCAAAGATGAGGATCAAATTTCTTAAGCTCTGTAATTCTCATACAATTTCTTGCATACATGGGAAAGAACCAGACTGACCTGATTAACTACTTCAAAGTAGATGGCAAGAGTTGATGTGGGATCCAGACTACAGATTTTCCATTGACTAGTACCACTAATGCCATATTCCTAAAAGAGGAGAAAAAAAAATCAAAGGCAGTTAATTGCTAATGAAAAAAGTTTACTGAGTATTACTTTCAGAACTTTTTTTCTAGATAAAAATTTCAATGCAACAGATTGTAAATTGCTTAAAAAGATATAAGATTATAAGTTTTAGTTTGTGCTATTTTAAAATTAATATATTTCAAATGAAACTTGGGTCAACTCTCATCATATCACTTGAAAAGATACAAGTGACAAACATATTGAGAAGAACATAAAGGAGTCAAATCGCGTACTAAGTACAATGAATAAGGATTATCTTCTGAGTTCCCATTATGAGATCTATTTAATTGTTTTCTAGATTTACTTTCTTGATATATTTAAGAAAAAGTTATGAACTCTAAATTAAATTTTTCCATAGAAAGATTCATATGTAATTTTTCTTTAAAAAAAATAATTAATTTATTTACATTTTCAACATTTACTTCCACAAGATTTTGAGGTCCAAATTTTCTCCCCATCCCGCCCATTTCCCCCACCCCAAGATGACGGGCATTCTGACTCTCCCTTCCCCCGATCTGCTCTCCCTTCTACCAATCCAACCCCCACTTCTACTAACTCCTTCTATTTTCCTGTAGGCAGGATAGATTTCTATACCCCAGTGCCTGTATATCTTATTTCCCAGTTGCATGTAAAAACAAATTTTTAACATTTGTTTTTAAAACCTTCCTCCCTCCCCACCCACCCTCACTGAGAAGGTAAGCAACTCCATATAGATTACACTTGTGCGGTGATGTAAAATAGTTCCATAATAGTCATGTTGTGGAAAACTAACTATATTTCCCTTCATCCTATCCTGCCCTCCATTTATTCTATTCTCTCCTTTGACCCTGTCCCTCCTTAAAAGTGTTTGCTTCTAATTACCTCCTCCCCCGATCAGTCCTCCCTTCTATTATCCCTCCCTGTCTTATCCCGTTCTCCCCTATTTTCCTGTAGGGTAAGATAGATTTCCATACCCAATTGAGTGTGTATGTTATTCCCTCCTTAAGCCAAATCTGATTAGAGTAAGATTCACTTATTCCCTCTTACTCCCCCTTCTTCACTTCCACTGTAAAAGCTTCTTCTTGTCCATTTTATGTGAGATAATTTACCCCATTCTACCTCTCCCTTTCTTCTTCTTCCAGTATAATCCTCTCTCAACCCTTAATTTTATTTTTTAGATATCATCCCTTCATATTCAACTCACCGTTTGTGTGTGTGTGTGTGTGTATTCCCTCCAACTACCCTAATACTGAGAAAGGTTTCATGAGTTACAAATATCTTTCCATATGGGAATGTAAACAGTTCAACTTTAAAAGTCCCTTATGAATTCTCTTTCCTGTTTAGTTTTTTATGCTTCTCTTGAGTCTTGTATTGAAAGTCAAATTTTCTATTCAGTTCTGGTGTTGTCATCAAGAATGCTTAAAAGTCCTCTACTTCATTGAATATCCATTTTTCCCCCTGAAGGATCATATTCAGTTTTGCTGAGTAGATGATTCTTGGGTTAAATCTTAGCTCCTTTGACTTCCAGAGTATCATATTCCAAGCCCTCAGATCCCTTAATGTAGAAGCTGCTAAATCTTGTGTTATCCTGATTGTTTCCACAATACTTAAATTGTTTCTTTCTGGTTGCTTGCAATACATTCTCCTTGACCTGGTTACTCTGGAACTTGGACATAATATTCCCAGGAGTTTTTCTTCTGGGATCTCTTTCAGGAGGTGATTAGTCGAGTCTTTCAATTTCTATTTTACCCTCTGGCTGGAGAATATCAGGGCAATTTTCCTTGATAATTTCTTGAAAGATGATATCTATGCTCTTTTTTTGATCATGGCTTTCAGTAATTTTTAAGTTATCTCTCCTGGACCTATTTTCCAGGTCAGTTATTTTTCCAATAAGATACTTCACGTTGTCTTTTATTTTTTCATTCTTTAGGTTTTGTTTTATAATTTCTTGATTTCTCATAGACTCATTAGCTTTCATTTGCTCCATTCTAATTTTTAAGGAATTATTTTCCTCAGTGAGCTTTTGGACCTCCTTTTCCATTTGGCCAATTCTGCTTTTTAAGGCATTCTTCTCTTCATTGGCTTTTTGGACCTCTTTTGCCATCTGGGTTAGTCTATTTTTTAAGGTACTATTTTCTCTTCATTATTTTTGGGTCTCCTTTAGCAAGCTATTGACTTGTTTTTCATGATCTTGTTGTATCACTCATTTCTCTTCACAATTCTTTCTCTACTTCTCTTACTTCCTTCTCAAAATCCTTTTTGAGCTCTTCCAAGGCCTGGGAACAATTTATATTTTTCTTGAAGGCTTTGGATGTAGGAGCTTTGACTTTGTTGTCTTCTGGTTGTATATTTCGATCTTCTTTGTCACCAAAGTAAGAGTCCATAGTATGAGTTTTTTTGTGCTGTTTGTTCATGATCCCAGCCAATTACATGACTTTTAAACTCTTTGTTAAGGTAGGGCTCTGCTTCCAGGGCAGGGGGTGTACAGTCCCAAGCTTCAGGGGTTTTGTGCAGCCATTTTCAGAGATATTTCCAGGGACCTGTAAATTTTCAGTTTTTCCAAGGTGGTATGATCAAAGGAGAGGTGTTTACTCCTTTCCTGGCCTGGGTTCTGGTGTATGAGTAACCACAAGCACTCTTCTCTGCCTGTCCACTGCCACCACAAGCTCCACCACACTGGCGCTCCTCCTCACCCCAGGACCACCACCCAGAACTGCGACCCAGATCCAAGCATGGGCAAAGCAAGAGAATCCTGCCTCAGTGCCAGCAAAGAGATCCTTGCAATCCCAAGGATCTGTTCTGTTCAGCTGCTCGATCCCCCCACCATCTGTGGGCTGAGAGGTCCCAGAAGCACCCCAGACTGGGACCAGACTGAGCTCCTCTCTCACCGCTGTCAGGCTGACCTTTTCTAACCACCTTCTAAGGTCTTTGGTGTTTGTGGGTTGAGAAGTCTGGCAACTGCCACAGCTTCCTGTGATTCAGTCCCCTTAGGTCTGCTCCAGGTTCACTGAGGCCTGGTCTTTGTCTGCGTGGCCCACTCTGAACTGCGCTCCTCTCCCAGCCCAGTGCAACAGACCTTTCCCATCAACCATCCAGGTTGTCTTGGGCTGGAAATTTGTTTCACTCTGTCTTTTTGTGGGTTCTGCCCTCTAGAATTTGTGTAGAGTCATTTTTTACAGGTATTTGGAGGGGTTCGGGGGAGAGCTCAAGCAAGTCACTGCTTTTGCTCTGCCTCCCAGAATCATCAGAATGTAATTTTTCAATAGCATATGATTTCTTTGGACTTTTTTGGTAACAGATGCAAAAATGCCTATTTACAGTCCAGTGCTTTCACAGTGGTAGGTTCAGAGAACATAAGATTGGAATTTGAACTCTTTAGAAAGAGTGAAATATTTATTTGATGAAAGGATAAAAAATACTACATTTAATATATTATGGCAAAGTATTTCTAGTATCTAAAGGCAACCCAATCCAAACCAACATTGAGTGTTGTTCTTATTAACTCAAAATGTTGAATATGACTCTTTAGAGATCAGAAACAGGAAAGTAAGCTGAAGCAAGTGAGGGGACATAAATTAGGTATGACCACCAACCACCAAAATCTCAACTGCTCACATTGCCTACTGTGACAGCTAAAACTGACCCATAATTTCCTAGTTTCCTCAGGTTCCTTCACCTAGCAACTCTTTGCCTCACATAAGGGAGAGAGGAAAGTTTTCAGATGACATTAAGCAGGAGGTGAGGGGAAGAGATAATATATGATTTCCTCCATAAACGGCAAGATGGAGATTGCGGAAGCCACGTCCTTATCTCATCCTACTTCCCTAGTCTTCCTAACTTTTTAGGTGTTATCTGACAAGGAAAAAAGCATTTCACATCTATTCTCTGGGAGAAGTTAAGCAGAGCCAACCTTGTTAGCAAAATTGCTAAGTTGGTAAAATTTGATCTTGGGGGTCTCTTTCTTATAATTGTACCCCTATTTTTTGTCACTACAGAGGCTTATAGGCTTCCTGTTTTCCTTTGATTATATAATGTTCTATGACATAATTTTGCCCTCCCCAACAAGTATACCATGCCATACCCACCTCATAGGGTTATCATGAGGAAAGCCTTTTGTAAATCCTTAAAGTTTTAGGTCTCTTCTTTGGACTCTAGACATACCTTGAGTTTTCCCTCTTGGAAAATAAGGAAGAACTGAAGGAGCTGGGCTATCAGTATCTGACTCCTCCCACTAAGTTAATTAATCTCTAAGTCTGTTTTTTATCTGCTCAGTCTTGATAGTCTGCTGTTCCCAAAATATAGCAAGTCTTCTTAGGCAGCACGGAGTTCTGCTCACAACTTTAGACACAACAGTACTCAGGTATTACTTAAATCAATCCTTCAAGGAAGCTAAATAATAAGCCACCTACACTAAAAAGAAAATAAGCATTTTAAAGCTTAGTTCTCTCTCTCCCAAGCATCTTTAACTTCGTAATGAGTGAGGGAAAAAAATGCACTCCAAGGGCATTGCCCAAATGCAACTTCATTACCCATAAGAATAGCAAAAGTTCTATTATGGACAAATCCTTTCTACCTAAAGAAATATAAACCAATAATTGAATGCACTGTCATTACAGCTAATAATTTTCCAACTTCTTTGGAATGAGGAAAAAATTTTTACTCACATTTTCTGACACACAAGGCCCTTTCACATTTAGAGATATACATGGACCAATTGCTCCTGAAATCTTCAGTTCTCTAGAAGTCTAAAACACAGTTATAGAAGAGTATGAAATATAAAATTGAGAACCACACCTATCGCACACACCCAATAGTTTGTTAGAAAAAATTCAACAGGACATTCTCTACAGAGAAAAAAATTATATACATTTAAATAATGTATATAATATAAAACTGTTTTCTTGCAGATCTCCACAGGATCACTGTTAATTGATTAAAATAATAACAATTCCCTCCTTCATGAACTGTATATAAATTATGTTCAAAAAACTTACACATCCAAAGTAAAGACTGCTATCAGCATCCATGAAATTTAAATCAGCTTTCTTAAGGCAGCAAGATGGCACAGTGGACAGTGTTGGACTTGAGTCAGGAAGATCTGAATTGATTCTGCTTCAAATACTTACTAGCTATATGACCCTAGGCAAGTAGCTTAATCTCTGCCTGCCTCAGTTACTTCATCTATAAAGTGAGGATAATAATAGCACCTACCTCCAAAAGTGGTTGTGAGAATCAAATGAGATATTTGTAAAGTGCTTTGTAAACGATACAACATTATATAAATGTGAACTATTGTTGTATATAAGTTTATCACCATTATCGGAATAATTAATAACTACTTTTTCAATTCATATTTCAGAAAAATCCAGATAGCAAAAATTTTAAGAATATAGTTACCAAATTTAACATTAGGATCTAGCCTATTTAGAATAGGCAGCAGAAATAGTACTAGACTATGCAAAATTTGCCTGAGATACTTATTAGTCAGCTAATTACAGATAATTTAATTTACCTTCCACATAGCCTCAGCTTTTTCATCTAAAAAGTAGGCATGACAATAACTACTACCTACTCCTTAAGGTTGTCTTGAGGAATGTTCTTTGTAAACTTTAAAACATTATAAAAAAATGTGAAATATTTAGTTATATATAAATCTCAGCTGTTACCTGCAATACCCAATTCTCTTTTGCAACATTCCCTTTTTTAACTTTTTCTTGATGAATCATGGTCAGACTTATGACCATCAATGAGCTGTAACATGTAGTGCTCTGATGGCTATTAGATTAAGTAGACCTGCTCGCCACTACAATAAATTGTTCCAAATTATTGTACTTCTCTAGACTACTTTCGCTGATCTTCGTATACTTGGACACTGGACACCAAAATGTGTTCTCATCTACTAGTATGGGTGAATATACCTTCTCCTTATGCCTCTTCTTCTGCTGCCCCATACCTGTGGTCTGAAGGCATGGTAGGGCAGAACTGAGGTGGCCTGCTCTGTGTCTAAGAAATGAATGGATAAAATAAAATAAGGTTTCATAGGGTTACTTTTCAAGCTCTTTATGGCTTTTTTTCCATTTATCAGAAGATTGATGTACATAATCAAACTACCAGAAATATGACAACTGGGTAAATAGAACATTACTATATTTACATTCCTTAATTTTTCATGGTACAAGTACCACAATGCTTTCCTGTGCAGTTATGTAACCTAATGGTATAAGAAGTGCCCATTCATAACACTAAAAAAAAATTGGGGTGGGAGGAGAAAAGATTTTTCATATCTTACCTTAACATCCAAAGTAGCACCAAATGCCATTCGAAAATCTCCATTAAAGTCTCTACTAAAAACCCTTTGGAATGTCTGCTTGAAGAGAGATGTGTTGAAGGAATCTCCCATCACCATATGACCACTAGGAATTAGAAAAGGAAGAGGAAAGGTCAAGGGTCAAAAAAAAAAACCTCACCACAGCTCACAGATTCCTCAACATTTAAGAAATGTAATCCAATCCAAAAAAGGACAACAATATGCACACAACTAACACTATTCAAGATGATATACACTAAGTTGAACTTAAAATGCATTTAACAAATGAAATCTTCCTATAAAATCATACGCTGATGTCTCTTTATGCATGGAAGTGACCGTAAATTCTAGAAGAGCACACCAACAAAGCATACATGCTGGCAAGTCCTGCCAAGCTGAAAAAGTTTCAGGTATAGTCACAGGCCTAGGGTAGGTCAAGTGTCAAGTGAAGACCAGGGATGGAGCCAAGACAAAGGCAGGGACTCTCCTGAGCTCTCCCCGCAAACGCCTCCAAATACCTTTATATAATGACTCCAAACAAATTCTAGAGCAGCAGAACCAACAAAAAGAGAGAGTTTAACCATTTTCCAGCCCAAAACAACTTAGAAGGTCGGTAGGAAAGGTCTGTTGCACCAGCATGAGAGGGCAGTGCAGTTCAGCACAGGCTGCACCAGCTCAGACTGGGCCCCAGCACACCAGGAGCAAGCCTCGGGGGACTGAATCAGTGGCAGCCGTGGTGGTTTCCAGATCTCTTAGCCCACAGATGGCAATGGGATTGGACAATGGGTCAAAAGGAGGTTTACAGGGCTCCCTTTGCTGGCACCAGGGGCAGGACTCTGCTGTGTTACCTACAGTTGGATCTGGGCCACAGTCTTGGGTCTTAGCCTTAGTGCCAGCAGGAGCACTAACACAGCAGAGCTTGCAGCCTCAGGGAAGCAGGGACCCTGGTCACAGATCCAGGGTTGAAAAGAGTGTTTGCGGTCGCTCACAAAGCAATGCACAGTACAGGAGAGTAGTAAACACACTTCTTTCTAGATCATACCACCTTGGAAAAGCCAAAAACTTACAGGTCCCCAGAACTACCTCTGAAAACAGTCACACAAAAAACCTTAAGCTTGAGATAGTGCCCCCTCCACTTGGGAAGCAGAGCCCCACTTTAGCATAGAGTTAAAAGTCAAGAAATAGGCTGGAAAATGAGCAAACAACAGAAAAAAGATCCTGAGTATAGAAAGTTAGTATGGTAAGAAGGAAGATCAAAACACACACTCAGGGACAGCTAGGTGACACAGAGGATAGAGCACCAGCTCTGAAGTCAGGAAGACCTGAGTTCAATTCCGGCCTCAGACATCTAACACTCACTAGCTGTGTGACTCTGGGCAAATCACTTAACCCCAATTGCCTCACACACACACACAAAAAAAAAAAAACCACTCAGAAGAAGACAACAAAGTCAAAATTCCTATGTCCAAAGCCTCAAAGAAAAATATGAATTGGTCTCAGGCTATGGAAGAGCTCAAAAAGGATTTTAAAAATCAAGTAAGAGAGGTAGAGGAAAAACCGGGAAGAGAAATGAGATTGATGTAAGAAAATAACGAAAAAAGGGTCAATAGTTTGGTAAAGAAATCACAAAAAAAATGAAGAAAATAACACCTTAAAAACCAGAATACGTCAAATGGTAAAAGAGGCACAAAAATCCAATGAAGAGAAAAATGCCTTGAAAGGCAGAATTGGCCAAATGGAAAAAGATATACAAAAATTCACTGAAGAGAAGAACTCCTTAAAAAGTAAAATTGGCCAAATGGAAAAGGAAGTAGAAAAACTCATTGAGGAAAGAATTGCTTAAAAGTTAGAATTGGGCAAGTGGCAGCTAAATGACTTTATGAGGGAGTAAGGAACAATCAAACAAAATCAAAATAATGAAAAAATAGAAGACCATGTAAAATATCTCACTGGAAAAACATCTGACCTGGCAAATAGATCCAGGAAAGAGAATTTAAGAACTATTGAACTACCTGAAAGTCTTGATCAAAAAAACAGCCTAGACATGATTTTCATGAAATCATCAAGGAAAACTGCCCTGATATTCTTGAACCAGAGGGTATAATAGAAATTTTAAAAATCCACCAATCACCTCCTGAAAGAGAAATCAAAATGAAAACTCCCAGGAATATTGTAACCAAATTCCAGACCTCCTAGATAAAGAAGCAAATACTGAAAGCAGTTAAAAAGAAACAATTCAAATATTGTGGAGCTACAGTCAGGATAACACAAGATTTAGCAGCTTCTACATTAAAAGATCAGAGGCTTAGAATATGATGCTCCAGAGGGCAAAAGAGCTAGGATTACAACCAAGAATCATCTACTGAGCAAAACTGAGTATAATCCTTCAGGGGGGAAAAAAATGGACATTCAATGAAATAAAGGACTTTCACTCATTCCTGATGAAAAGACCAAGGCTAAATGGAAAATCAGACTTTCAAATACACGATGCAAAAGAAACATAAAAAGGTAAACTGAAAAGAGAAATCATAAGGGATTCAATAAGGTTAAACTTTATATTCCGTGGGAAAATGTTATTTACATCTCCCAAAAACTTTCTCATCATTAGGGGAGTTAGAAGGAATATATATAGAAAGCAGAGGTGTGAGTTGAATGTGATGGTATGATTATCTAAAAAAAAAAAATTTAAAGGATGAGAAAAAAGACTGCACTGAGAGAAGGTGAAAGGGATAGGGAGAATGGGATAAATTATCTGACACAAAAGAGGCCTGAAAGAGGTTTTACCGTGAGGGAGGGGAAAATGGGGGAAGAAGGGAGGGGAGAACCTTACCCTCATCAGAATTGGCTCAAAGAGGGAATAATATATAGATGGAATAACTCAGGTGCAGAAATCTTTCTTACCATACAGGAAAGTAGGAAGAGAAGAGGGAAAGGAGGAGGGGGAACTAATAGAAGGGAGGGCAGTTTGGGGGAGGGAAAAGTCAGAAGCAAAACACTTTTGAGAATGGACAGGGTAAAAGGAGACAGAGAAGGGAAAACGGGGAAAACAGGATGGAGGGAAATACACAGCTGGTAATCACTACTGTGAAAAAAAATTTTTACAGTGACTTCCTCTGATAAAGACTTCATTTCTCAAATATATAGAAAACTGAGTCAAATTTATAGAAATAAAAGCCATTTCTCAGCTGATAAACGGTCAAATCTTATGAACAGCAGTTTTCAGACAAAGTAATCAGTTATCTATAGTCACATGAAAAAAATGCTCTAAATCACTACTGATGAAAAAATGCAAATTAAAACAACTCTGAGCTACTACTTCACACCTGTCAGATTGACTGATATGACAGAAAAGCAAAATGACAAATGTTGGAGGGGATGTGGGAAAATTAAAACACTAATGTACTACTGGTGAAGTTGTATACTGATTCAACCATTCTGGAGAGCAATTTGGAACTATGTCCAAAGGGCCATAAAACCATGCATACGTACCAAGCTACAACTACAACTACATCAATATCCCAAAAAGATAAAAAACAAAAAGGAAAGGAGCTGTGTGTACAAAAATATTTATAGCAGCTCTTTTAGTGGTGGCAATGAATTGGAAATTGAGGAGATGTTCATCAATTGGGGAATTGCTAAACAAGTTGTTGTACACGATTGTGATGGAATATTATTGTGCTTTAAGAAATGGTGAGCAGGATGCTCTCAGAAAAATCTGAAAAGCCTCAAATCAACTGATGCAAAGTGAAATGAGCAGAACCAGAAGAACACTGTACACAGTAACACCAATATTATGTGATGATCTACTATGAAGAACTTAGCTATTCTCAGAAATACAATGATCTAAGACAATTCTGTAGGACTTAAGATGAAAGATTCTGTTCATCTCCAGAGAAAGAACTAATAGAGCCTGAATGCAAATCAAAGATACTTTTTCTTTACTTTTTTTATTTTTCTTGGGGATTTTTTTTTGCCTGTGTCTTCTTTCACAGAATGACTTACATGGAAATATGTTTTGCATGACTACACATGTATAACCTATGTAAAATTGCTTGCCTTTTCAATGAAGGGGAGAGGAGGGAGAGCATATGGAAATCAAAATTTGAAAAAAAAAAGACATTAAAATTGTTTTACATGATTTTAGGGGAAAAAATAAAATATTAAATAAGATTAAAAAAAAAAAGATCAACTTAAGTCTGATGTGCCTCATCACAAGGTTAAAGGTAAGGAGCCACAGGGTGATGAATGCTTTGGTCGTGTCATCAGTTGCAATGTGCATAGTAAAAAGAGTATCAACATAATGAAATCAGATTTACTAAAGTATTAAAGTTATGTCTACTAAATTGAATGATGCCAAATTCAAGTCATAACACAGCTCCCCCTATTTAACAAAGTATAATAGTTAAGCAAAATCAAGCAACAAAGCAACAATTTCTCATGTTACATGCAACATTACACAGGAATAGTCCCTTACCTCTCGTTGACAGGTAAAAAAGTATGTTTCCACTCATTTTCTAAAATCTTTTATCTAGCAGCTAATAAAGTAATTAATTGACTGGCCATCTTCAGAATTTCTACCAAGGAGTCAATATAAATTAAACTGCCCAGGATAGATTTTTAGAAGCTTGAGTCTAGGATTAACATGAATTTAATTTTCTTCTGACAATGAATCAAGATATACCTATAACCCACCCCCACACACATATACATACATGCACACACATATACATACATGTATATGTATGTATATGTGTGTAGTTGTACACATATAATTAACTCAAAACTTTTTTATTGTCGATATCCTTTTTTATGTCATGTAATTTAGCAAATCAGAGTAATCTGCTGAATAACAGTATGGTGGGTTCAATAGTCTAAGTAAAGACCTACTGAACAGAACAACTTTCAAAGAAAACAATACAAAAGGAAAATATTCCCTGAGGCACTGTTTTCAAATTCAAAATAATACTGTAATAACAATAACCAATGTTTATATAGCACTATGTGTCAGACATTATGCTGAGTGCTTTACATTTATTATCTCATTTGATCCTTGCAAAAATATTATCCCAATTTTACAAATAAGGAAATGAAACCTACAGAGGTTAAGTAACTTGCCCAGGGTCAAAAAATACTAGATACCATGTATCTAGGATTTTAAGTCCATCCTTAATCTAATGGTTCTAGCTGCTATTTCTCTTCCCTTAAAACAAAACTTTTCTTCTCCCATAGTACGTTCACTGTCAACATACCCAGTAAGATTTGCACAACACTTCATCTCCAGAAGACCAGTTTGATCAAGGGCACAGGCGTAAATATCGATGCAGTGACCATTTGTAGCGGTACGATTAGCAAGCATCTCATAGTGCTGCAACAAGAGAAAAATTGCTTTAAATAATATTGCCAACATAATAACATTCTTTACATGTTTTTATATATTTTTTGATTCTCCTAAAGGGAATAATATTCAAATTTGTAAATAATTATGAAAAAGATATTCATTTTATACTTAAAACATATCACTGAAATATAATAAACATTAATTCATCTGAAAAACAACTTAAAAATCCTATATTTAATGACTTCTACATTAACTAGAATTCAATAATTCAGAAAGTTAATTAAATCTGGCCAAAATCAATAAAATCACCAATCATCAGCATTGTCAGCCAAGTTACAAATATTCATGGGATTGTGGGAATTGAAGGGTATCCTTGGTATGCTTGTAGACTAAGTGCAAGATATTACTAAAAGTTAAAAACCTCCACCACAGATCTCTGAATTGCATCTTCTAAGTACCTAGGGACAATACACATTGATCCTTCTGAAATGACATCGACCAAGTTCAGTAGTTTCTAGGATGCCTAGGTATAGTATGGATTTGTTAATGGGCAAACTACCACTGTTTTCTTTATTTGCAAGTACTTACTTTGGTTGCCTTTTTCATAAAACGTGCATTGTCTTTCTCTATGTCATGCCAGGAACGAATGGGAACCTTTAATTCATCTCCAACTACCATGCCTGGTCCTTGAGTGGGTGGGCCTCCAGTAAACAACATAATTCTGGCTCCCGTATTTGGAAAAGTGCCCTAAGGATATTAATTACATTGCTTTAGAAACACACTAATTAGGAAAATGTGGTTTACCCGTTTTTCTTTCTTTTTTTTCTTTTTTTAACTTTTAAAAAATTTTTAAATTCATTTATTTATTTTTAGTTTTCAACATTCACTTCTATAAGCTTTTGAGTTTTAAATTTTCTCTGCTTCCCTTCCCTACCCCCTCCTCCAAATGACATGCAATCTGATATAGGCTCTACAGATACATTCTTATTAAACATATTTTCACATTAGTCATGTTATAAAGAAGAATGAGAATGAATGGGAGGAACCACAAGAAAGAAGAAACAAACAAAAAAAAACCACAGAGAGAACAAATAGTGTGCTTCAATCTGCATTAAGACTCCATAGTTCTTTCTCTGGATATGGATAGCATTTTCTATCATGAGTCTTTTGGAGAAGAGCTAAGTCTATTAAAGTCAGTCATCACACAATGTGGCTGTTACTGTGTACAACATTCTCCTGGTTCTGCTCACTTCACTCAGCATCAGTTCATATAAGCCTTTCTAGGTTTTTCTGAAGTCTGCCTGCTCATCATTTCTTATAGCACAATAGTATTCCATCACACTCATATATCACAACGTGTTCAGTCATTCTCCAATTGATGGGCATCCCCTCAATTTCCAATTCTTTGCCACCACAGAAAGAGCTGCTATAAATATTTTTGTACAAGTGGGTCCTTTTCCCATTTGTATGATCTCTTTGGGATACAGCCCTAGAAATGCTATTGCTGAGTCAAAGGGCATGAATAGTTTTATAGCCCTTTGGGCATAGTTCCAAATTGCTCTCCAGAATGACTCAATCAGTTCACAACTCCACCAACAATGCATCAGTGTTCCAATTTTCCCACATCTTCTCCACCATTTATCATTTTCCTGTTTTGTCATGTTAGCCAATCTGATAGGTATGATATGGTACCTAAGAGCTGTTTTGATTTGCATTTCTCTAATCACTAATAATTTAGAGCATACCAGTTTTTCTAAGGAAAGAAAATCTGAATGAATTTTCCTTCACATTTATAAAGGTTAAGAATATTTTCCATTCAGCAAGACATCTTCCTCCAATTCAAGCCTTTCACCAACTTACTGTCAGTATTTCCTATGATCCACTTCTCCCACCTCCCCTCTATGTTTCTCACCTAAGTAATGGTACACTCAAATGTGTGAGATAATAATGAACTACATTTCCATATATACTAAAATAAATAGTTAATAAATTGCAGATACTACCAACAACCAACAAAAACCACCAACTTTTCTTAATCTCTCTGTTTCATTTAAGAAGACAGAAAAATCTAAATTACCTTCAATAGGAGCAGGTAGGTGGCCCAGTGGATAGAGCACCGACCCTGGAGTTGGGAGGACCTGAGTTCAAATCCGGCCTGAGACACATAACATTACTAGCTGTGTGACTCTGGGCAAGTCACTTAACCCTGATTGCCTCATCAAAAAAAAAAAAAATTACCTCCAATAAGCCAACAGCAATGGACAAAGCGACACCTGTGGATCGCAAGGGTCTTTTTCCTTGAGTTACTGGCCATGGGTCCCTTTGTAATTCCCCAAGAAGATCTGTCAGGTTCATGTCAATCTTATGAACAGGCTGCAGAAACCTACAAGATTTCAAATGAGCCCATCAGTATCAGTTTAAAAAAGCACTCTGGTCTTTATGCATGAGCAGTCTATCAGATTAACAAACCTTTTGCTTCAATCTTAAGTAGTGAACAATTTCTAATATGACTCGCCAAGGAATTCAGTCAGTATGATTTATTTATTATATATACTTCCAAAGACGTATCATTCACAAATCTTATTCTTGATATTAAAATTAAACACTCTTTTCAAAACTAAAAACTATCCTAAGGTTCCATTGCTAGGCATATACCTCAAGGAGGTCAAAGAAAAATATGCCAAATATTTATATTTGTATTAGATTAGATTTATATGCTAAAACTATTCAGAAGCATTTTCGGGGTAGCAAAGAATATAGGCAGCATGCCTATTGGGGAATGGCTAAACAAGTTCTGAAACCTAAATATAATGGAATAAATGATGAATATGATGGTTACAGAGCAGCATGGTTAGACATATAAACCGATATAAAGTAAAGTAAGTAGAATCAGGAAAACAATATACACAATGACAAAATTAATGGAAATGGAAAGAACAACAAAACAGCTGAAACTTGATGTTATGAAATTATAATGCCCAAGCTTAGCTCCAAAGAAGAGATATGAAAAGGAACATTCCTCTTTTCTTTGCAGAGGTAGAGGTGCTACGAATGTGGAATACTGAAGATAATGTCAGATTTTTCTTATGTTAATTTTTCCAAATTAGGGGGTTTTTTTGTATAATTTATTGTAAGGGATGACTCTCTGGGAGGGGAGAAGGAAATTGCTAAGTTGGGACAAAATAGATCAATAAAAATATATTTTTTCAAAATCCAAACCTTATCTACATTGGGAAGACATTAAATTAAAATCTAAAAGTAATGAATTAAAAACCAGTTTAAATTTTTTTATAAGCTTAAAGTATAAGAAAAAAAGTTTTCGGTGCCTTTATAAAAATATCAAAAATTTGTCCATGGGAACTTAAACCACAAGTTCAAACGCTTATTTTTCATTAAAGGAAAAAGAAGACAGTTGGGAACACTGTGAATTCCCTCATACTATGGGTCAAATAACAATCTGACCTTACCTGCTTGATATAAAAGGTTGTCCTTGTGGTTGAACAGATCTTGCTTGCTGAGCAGACATAGCTGGCTTGGTAAGGCCTAACATATCCTAACAAAAGAGAAGAAATAACTCAGTTTCCAAAATGTTTAAAATCTTTTAAAGAATTCTTAAAGAAAAGTTTCTAGTGTTTTGTGTATTTATATCCAAGAAACAAACCTGTATTTGCTTTGCAGTCAAATCCTTGGTCCCTCGAAAGACATAGCTTTTTGAGATTCCTTCACAGCTCAACTCATGAACCTGCACCATTCTACCAAAGGTGATTAGACCCACCAGAGCATCTGGAGGAAGAAGACTTAGGGACATCTGCAGAGACTCTTTTAGAGCTTGAAGGTCTTCTTCTTCCAGACATGTATCAACAACATAGAGAAAAATCAAGGGTGTCTGAGGCCCTCGCTTAAGAAAAAAGAAACAAGGCATAAGAAATGTCACATAAATAATATCTACCCCCCCCATAAAAAGAAAAAGTTCTTGAAAGCTATTTCTAACTGCAATTAAAACAATTTCTTAATCTAATATTTTAATTTTATATATATTTAGTATTAACCTCAACAAACAAAGAAAAATTGAAAAGAGGTCTAGCAGGGGGAAGTGAGCAATATGTTCTCTTCTTAGTGTGCCTGGGCAAAAAGGAATAAGCCCAGCACCATATGTAAGAAATTGCTGTAGCAGAAAGTCTAGCATTCTCCTTAACATCAGATCCTTTCCTCAAAGCAGGGTGGACATGAGGAATAGCCAGCAGCCGAAATAAATATGAATATTCAGAAGTCTGGCAAGAAGGACTTAGCAACAGAAAACGAGGGTAGGAATCATAATGATTTGTCCCAAACTACTAATGCTAAAAGTCAACTGCAAGCAGTAACGATAACTTAATCTTGGTATTCACTGAATGTAAACTCCCCTCATACCTAATGATGACAAGAGATGATGTGAACATATTGGAATTATTAAATCAGTTAAGACTGTAACATCAAACACTTGACACTTACCAGCTGTGTGACTTTGGGCAAGTCACTTAACTCTGACTGCCTCACCCAAAAAAAAAAAAAAAGACTATAACATCCATCAAGCTGCCTATTATGACTAGATAAAAGCATTCAGAGTTGGAAGGGACTTTCGAAATCACCTAGTCCTAGGATTCTTAATCTGGGGTCCTTGTTTTTTTTAGAAAATACTTTGATAACTGTATTTTATCATAATTGGTTTCAAAACCTCTGTGATCCTATATATTTTATTTTATGCATTTATACACATGCATAAATACATATGTTATTCTATGAAGAAGTCAATAGGCTTTACCAGCTTGGAAAAGGGGTCAATGACACAAAAAGGCTAGGAATCCCTAATCTAGTACAGTCTCTTTTCTTTATAGCTGAGAAAAGTGAAGCTCAGAGAGGCAGAAGTGATTTGTTCAAAGTCACACAGGGAGTAAGTCGAAGAGGGGACTGAACCCAGGTCCTCTGACTCCAGATCCACACCACATTGGAGGCTGACTACATCAGAAAGGGAAGTAGAAGGGGGCTAGAAATTTACTCAGCACTCACAATTTCTTTCTAATAAGATGAATATACCTGATGTTTAACCTGCTTGGAAACTTGAGCATCAGAAAAACCTCACTGCTTTCTTTTTGAGTTCCATGTTTCTTATTCTATGTTACCGAAGACATGCATTCAATTACTAGAAATGTTCACTATCATCATTCAATCTAAAGAGGCTGAGCTTTACTACATATACCTCACATCTTTTTTTTTAAGTTTAGTGACAAACTTTATTAAAAAGCCAGATTCAAAGTTAATTTATTTTTGTATTTTAAAAATTCAAAGGAGAATGTCAATCTATAAAAATGGAACATCGTCATATTTATTCTTGAGAGGAAAGATAGCTACATAAACCACATATTTACCAGGTTAAACATCAAAGCTAGAATTTAGAAAACTCATAGAATTTCAGTCCACATGGAAACCATACTTATTCCATGGCCTAAAGTAGGGATCAACAAATTGCTAACACTATTTCTCCCAAGACTTAAAAATCTACAATACTATTGCTGTCACTAAAAACCTACTAATACAACTGCCTTTCCTCTATAATTCTGACTAGTAAGAAAAACAAAAGACTCAAAGTATACATACAGAAAGAGATTCTGTAGAACATTGTTAAATTAATACTAACAAATTACCTGCACTATGTACTCAATTGTAGAAAACTGGGGCATCAATTCTGCAGGTTGATTCACCTCAGATATGCCTGCATATGCTGGAGGAAACTAAAAAGAAAAGGAAATCATTTTAAGGTATTCATAAAGCAAAAAAAACCTTAAAAGATTATAAAGCTGCTAAGTAATACAATGAACTAAACTTCAAACATTAAGACCTTGTATTGGTACATATACTTGAAATTACTTATACTAAAAAGATTCAAATCATAAATAACTATAAACACATATTTAAGCTGGTTCCCAATCTCCATTCATTTTCACATGTACTTTTATATTTTTCCATTGATAAAGATGTCCATGCAAATATTGAACTTCTAGTTCCTAATCTTTCTATTATTTCATATCTGTCCAAAATTATTTCCTCATATTTTCCCTCCTTAATTATATTATCACATTATATTAATATAACAATCTGTTAAGTCACTCTGCAACTGGACCTCCCAGGTTTTCAGGTTATAAAACTCTAGTATGCACTCCCAGATTTGCTCTTTAAAAATATTACCACACTTTTCAGTACTATCAACAATAAAGGCATGAACTTATTTTCTATACTCCCACCAGCACTGAGCTTAGTGATTATTGTTTATTCTTTCCAATTGTGTAGGCACAAATTGTTTTTAAAACAATCTTTGTTGTTTCTAAAAATTTAGAAGTAGTATATATTTCAAGGTGACCATTTACAATATATGTATCTTCTTTTCTTTGGAAAAAGAAAATGCATCAAGTACCTCAGTTCTAGAGTGGTAAACTGCCGTGGTCAGATGTGTTCTCTACGTGCGTGCCTTACTACCACTGTAATTTTGTGCCCTCTCATCCCCCTCCTTATCTAGGAGGATTGTTTGTAGGAGACTATGCCCCCGGTGTTGAGCGAAATGCTTTGTAACTATTGTCCTTGCTATGCCATTTGAGTAAATGCCTTTGCTAAAGAACTGAAACTACTGTCTAATTAAAGGTAAGCACACCAAAGAAGAGCTCAAGAGCTAGCCCCTAGGACAGGCCTGCACAAACCGCAGCTCCCCAAAGGAATTCGAGGGATCTGCGAAAAATATAGAGGATGTTTTCCTCCACTCTAGGATGACGGACACTCACAGGGTCACTCTAAAATCCTGGAAGTAGTAACAGTCAACCCTCTGAAGAACCAACAAGACAATGGCAGTGTGAGTTGGGAGAGTGAGCCTTGAAAGGGATGTCAGATAAGGTTTCTATTATTCCATCCATTAAGTGTCACAGCGTCATAAACGAAAAGGATACATATAAAAAGCATCTTTTTAGTTGCTTCATTTTAAACATAATTCACCTACCTGATTTCTCTGAAAACAGAAATTACAGGCCCAAAGCTTAGCTCGATAATCAACCTGACTGTGAAAAAAGAAAATAAAATATTTAAATATATAGTTATTAATTTTAAGGATGAAATACTTACATGCAAATTTACAATAAACATATCTATACTCTTATAAGTTACTGAAATGGATTTTTAAAAAATTTTGCACAGGATTTCCTGATCAGATATACCAGTTAATCATTTAAACATGTCCTTGTCACATCTGTGGAAACCACACTTTACTACAGGTAAAAGGTCTATCAGACTAACATTCAACTATCAAGGTACTATGCTTCTTAAAACTCTTAGGGGTTACAAAATTATTTTAGTAATGAATTTTTAAATGAAAAATGGCCTCCTTGCCGTTCCTCATATATAATACTTTATCTCCCAACTCTGTGCATTTGCACTACCTGTCCCCCAGGCCTGGAATATTTTCCCTCAATTCTAATTCCAAACTTTCTTGAAAATTCAGCTCAAATCCCACCTTCTGCAGGTTTTTCTTTCCCTCCCACCACAAGGATGTTCTCCCTACACTGCTAGTCCTTTCCCTCTAAAACTACATTCCATGTACATCATATGTATTTTGTATATATATCCATTAAAATATGAGCTCTTTGAAAGCAGAGACCATGTTTCGCCTTTCTTTGTTTCTCCAGTGCCTAATACATAATAAATGCTAATGAATATCTGCTGACTGACTGAAGTTCTGATAAACTACATTATTCTAAACAGACCACCTTTTGGTCTATACCACAAAAACACTGTACATATTTCATTCTAATTATCATTATATCAATATTTTAAAAATTCATACCAAAGTGGATTGAGAACTGCTTTACAAGTTGGCCTGCTACAAAGTACAGGTTCATATTGTACTGGAGGTAAATCTGGACGTTCTTTTAAGGGAGTAAGTAGACATGCCAGAGGGACAACCATTCTTGTGGCCTCAAGGCGACTAGATGGCCACACATTCCAACTGAAACGAACACCATCTTGCTCCTCATTTTGCTGGATAAACTCCAGATAGGTTGCCATGGTCTGAAAAGGAACTGACATTAAAATTTTAATATAAATATATTTATCACCAGTAGTAAACTAATCTAAATAATATTTATCAATCAGATGCAAGCATCTCAATGGCCTTTCCCCAGAGTGGCCCCCATCTTCTGATTCAGGACTAGAACTGCACCTTTCACCAAGACCTATCCAAGAGCACAAAGAGATGTTACCAGTATTAGGAAAGATCTGAGCTATTAAATTCAGATATATAAGTACTCTTTTGCTATTGATCAATTATTGTAAAAATCAGTGCAAAATCTCCCTAAATAAAAACATTATAAGTAAACAGAAAAGGAAAGATAGCTCTTGTCAGTCTGAACAGATAAACTTGCCAGCTAATGTTAATTTAACCAGTATACCCCAAAAATATGGGAGAGGAGGTTGTAAAAATTATAATATTTGACATACATGGAATTCCTTTTTTTTCATCAAATATACACAGGACACTGTTTAGAAAATATATACCTTAAATAGTTGACAATTATATGGGGTTTGCGATTATATTAAGGTTTGCAAAGTGTTTTATATGTACTATCTCATCTAATTCTATGGAATCCATCCCAGCTAACTACTACATCATGTAGCCCCAAGGGGTTTGACACAGAGACCATATAAAAGTGGTTATATGAGGTATATTCTGTAAGGTTGATGTGTATAATTTAAGCTAGATAGCTCTAGATATTTCTGATATTCCGTTGAGCTCTGTTACTTTCTGGCCATGTAAAAGTTCACTTAAGATCTCTGAGGTCAGCATCAAAAGACCTAGGATCAGCACTTGATTCTGATGCTAGCTATATCAGCTAAGACTATATAAATGTGTTATTAGCAGTACCCTCCCTCTCTGCACTGTAATATTTGGGTTCAATCAGTATGTGACAAATGTGTTCCTTTGTGAACTGTACTTTCTTATTCCATTTCCCCTATGCTGCTAACTTTGAAGAAGTACACACAGAATCTTCTCAGTTCTTAATGGTTATGCCATAGTAGTCTTTGGCCAAAGCTCACAAGCACCAAAAGTATGTTTTCTTCTATGCTGTATGTGATTATGTATTCTCTGTTTATTATGTTCATACTTCTAAACTCAATCTGTCATGTTAAAGTATTCAGTCTAAATCTTCCAAACCTGGGTAAACCCCAGTTCCACTGTGTGTCTACACATTCTCTTCCTAACCGCTCTAAGGTAAAAGCCTAAGACAATAAAGAATTTGGCTACTAAGAGCCAAATGGATAAACTTCCTGGAGAAAAGAAATAAAGCACCCAGTTAACACTTTCATGTAATGAAAAATAAGGCCTTGATAGATATGAGAAAAGAAAAGTATCTCAATTTGCTAAACACCATACTGTAACTATATGGAACTGAAATAACTGGGAAGTAGTAAAGGAATAGTGGAAAGATTCCTGGCTAGGAAGTCAAAGGCCCTGGATTCAAATCTCAAATGTGACTTCTGGCAAGTCATTAAGCTTCCCCAAGCCTCATTTCATAGATGTGGAAACTGAGGTCTCTAAGGCCCCTTCTAGCTCAATTCCATGATTCTAGGATAAATATTCAAGGACTGACATTCCTTGAGCAAAACAGTACCTACACTGTATTACAATGCAAGTATACAACTCAAACATGACTTCTGAATAGAGTCTAAGCTCCTGTTCATCACTTTTGTAATCAATGAAATGCTTTCACCCTGATATAGCACTCCAAACTGCATCTCCAACCTTCAAGTAAAAAAGGTATAAGTAACACAAACAGTAAGACTGTCCTACACACAACATGCATTTAATAAATTTTGGTTGATAATGATGAGAAAAGAGTCTAGCTTTACTCTCCTGATCCACAGCAGGATTTTAGCAGACATGAAATTCAGCAATCATTAGATAACAGATTTAAAGTTAGAAGAGGTTTTATAGTGATTTACTCCAAAGTCCCCATTTTACAGAAGAGGAAACTGAGGCTGAAAGAAGTTAAATGACTTTTTCAAGATCACAGGTATTAAGGGGTAGATCTGGAATTTGAAGACAGGCTTTCATAACCTCTCATCTGGTACTCTTTCCACCCGCACCACAATACAAGTTATGACTGAAACGCCAAAAGGGGAAAATTCAAGTAGGAACGAAACTACGAGGTACACTGCCCGAGCCTGTGGACTTCTGTGACAACTTGACCAAAAGTTGTACTTCAGCCAAAAGGCCCCGGCTCTCCCAAACATGACGCCCCTTTCCCAGAGGTGACCAAATCTCCCCTGCCCCCCAAGAACGGCGCGTAGAGCTTCTAAATCTCGGGTGGGGTGGGGATGGGGGGGTCCGTCTCCTCTCCCTCCCATCCTCACTGGCTCCTCGTCCTCTGACCGGAACAACTGGAGACTCAGGGGAAAGCTCTGGGAAGGCCCTAGGGTCATCCTCCGGACAGTCCGGCTCTCCAGACCAAGCCAGGACCGGCCAGAACTAGCCCGCCGGGGCACAGTACGAGCACCGTGAGCCCCGGGGGAAGGAAAGCGAAAGGCTGCGGGACGAATCCGGGGTCCCCGCGGCCCTCCATCCCCCCCTTCCTCCCCAGGCCGGCAGGGATACCAGGGCCCCAGCCCCCCGGCCCCGGGCCACGCGCGTTCCTCCCCCCTGCCTCCCTCTCTCCTTGCCTGCCCCGGGCGCGGTGGACCATCTGTTCCCAGAGCCTCAAGTCCGCTCACCTAAGCCAGGCCGTGAACACCCAGAGACGGAAGCGACCGGCAGCCGCCCGGGCCCAGCGCCAAGTCCAGCTCAGCGGGACGCCGGTTGGCCGGGCAGCCGGCGTGCGTCGGCGCCACGTCGCCCTCCCATCGACCAATCAGAGAGGAGCACCTCCCCCCTTCCGAGAAGGAAAGAGGCAGGAGGTCGGGCGAAGCCGGGGTCGCCACGTTGGGTCCGGGTAAGCGGCGGACCCAGGAAGCCCGAGTCTCCGCCCCCGAGTTCTTCAGGAATCGCCTGCGGCCAGAGACCGAGCCTGCGCGTCACCTAGTGACCGAGCGAGCCGGATGCATGACGTCAGAGACCCGGAGCTGGGCGGGGCGGATCAGAAGACACTTCGGGGAGCTCGGGAGGGCGCCACCGAGGGAGGAGCCCCAGCTGACCTCCGAGCGTGCTGGAAACTTGGGGTGCGAGGAGGCAAACGAGCTCCGAGGGTGACTGGGCCAGCAGTTCTCAGGACCCCTGCAGGCGCTTAAAAAGTGAGAATTCCTCATTGCTGGAAACTCCGAAGAGCTTTTGTTTATGTGGATATAGCTACTGAATTTACGTTAAATTACGTTAAATTTTAAAATATTAATTCATTTTAAAATAATAATAAACCTATTACATGTTCTGATGAATAACATTTTTATGACAAATATATATTTTTAAAAAGTGTGGTAATGTTTTACATCTTTTTGCAACTCTGTCTTTTTTTATTGTTTATTTAGTATTTTGTTTTCCCCTAGTTATATGTAAAAGCAGTTTTCAACATCTGTTTTTTAAAACTTTGAGTTCCAAATTATCACCCTTCCTCCCTCCCCCCTTCCCGCCCATTGAGAAGACAAGCAACTTGATATAGGTTATACTTGTGTAGTCGTGCAAAACATATCCATAATAGTCATGTTGTGAAAGAAAACAGACAAAAAAAGCCTCAAGAAAAAGAAAGTTAAAAAAGCATGCTTCAATTTATATTCAGACACCATCAGTTTTTTCTCTGAGGATGGATAGCATCTTTCATCATAAGTCCTTTAGAGTTGTCTTGGATCTTTGTATTGCTGAGAATAGCTAATCATTCACAGCTGATCATCTTACAATATTGCTGTTACTTTGTACATGGTACATTTCACTTTGCATCAGCCCATGCAAGTCTTTCCAGGTTTTTCTGAGAGCATCCTGCTAGTCATTTCTTATAGTACAATAATCACAATCACATACCACAACTTGTTCAGCTGTTCCCCCGTTGATGGACATCCCCTCAATTTCTAATTCTTTGCCCCCAGAAAAGAACTGCTGTTAATTTAAGTCTGGCTTAATAGAAGACAGATGGATTCTCATCATCTGCTTCTGCATTCAATCTGATATGATTTTTTTTTAAAAATCTAGCCTTACACAAATATGTGGTTGAAAAGTAGGATTATTTTTAATAGCAAAGTCTTTGTATTATTATGAAAATGTGTCCCCTGAAATAGTCTTGGGACTCACTTTGAAAACTGCTGTTTCAGGCCAAAGTTCTCATTTCACAGATTAGAAGACTGAGGCTCTGAGAGGTACCTGGAAAATACTGTTATCTCCAGATTCTGGGCATTTTCACTGCTTGTCCCTTAAGCCTGGAATGCTTCACCTCTGCCTCCAGGATTCCTTGCTTCAAGTCAACCCCCAAACCACCTAATACAAGAAGGCTCTCCCAGTACCTCTTAATTCCAGTGCCTTTGCTCTGTTACTCCAGTTTATGCGTTCTATAACTTGTTTATGGAGGCAGCTAGGTGGTACACTGGATAGAGAACTAGGCCTGGAGTCAGGAAGATCTGAATTCAAATGCAGCCTCAGACACTTACTAGCTGTGTGATCTTGGGCAAGTCACTTAACCCCTATTTGTCTTAATTCCTCTTCTGTAAAATGGGGACACACTGGAGAAGGAAATGGCAAACTACTCTAGTATCTTTGCCAAGAAAACCCCATGGACAATGTCCATGAGATCACATAGAGTTAGACATGACTGAACAACAGTAACTTGTTTATATGTAGTTGTTTGCATACTGTCTCCCTTATTAGAATGAAAGTTTCTTGAGGGCAGGAACTTTTTGCCCTTTTTTTTTGTATCCCTGGCACAGTGCTTGCCCCATAGGAAGTACTTAATAATAAATACTGTCAGTTTTCCTAATAGGCAGATAGATATGGCAGTTTGTATTTGAACTCAGGTCCCCTCAGTTCTAAATTCAACCCTTTTACTCCTTTCACCAAGAGCAAAATCTTGGTTTGGGAAAGGGAAGGAAAAAAGGCTTGAGTGAAAGGAAACCTGTTGTGGAACCATGCTGTGTATTTGTCACATGCCTACTTCACATGCCTAGTGCCACCACGAACACCCCCCCACCCCCACCACCACCCCCATGTACATACACCCACCCACATCAGAGGTAGGACAAGCCATATCAGGGGGGAAAATTGTCAGCAGGGAAACTCACAATATTTAAAAGAACCATTCAGGTGATGGATGTCTCTAGAAGAACTATAAAAACTAAGTTCCACAGCAGCCTGGGAAAGGACAGCCCAGGGCTCTGAACCCAAGAGCCTTAGCAATGCTTCTCATCCAGTGCCCACAGGCATCATCCTAGGATGTGAAGATACAGCCTGGTAGCTTACTACTCCTAGAAGATTCACAGCTACTGAAGACCCAGAAAAGAAGCTTCTTTTCATCATAGTCCTTGGCACTGTCAAATGGTTCAACATCAGAAATTGATATGATTTCATCAGTATAAATGACCTTATAAAAGCAGCATTACATGACCATCTGTTTTGCTCTTGTACCCTAAGGGCCATGGTAACTTTCTATCTAACTAGCAGCCAAAATCTAACTGTTCTTCCGTTTGAACACAAGCTCCTTGAAAGCCAGGACTATCTTAACTTTCTATATGTATTCCCAGCATTTTGCATATAGTAAGTGCTTTACTCATTACCTCAACAACATATGCATTCAGTTGCCAAGTCTTGTTATTGCTACCTCCAGATCTGGGATCTGTTTCCTTCTTGAGACTAACATGGTTAGAACCTAGGTTCAGCCTCTTCTCACCTTTAAAATAACCTCTGTCAACGTGCCAGAGTTTGTTCGAAGAAAGACAGATTTAGGCTGTATGTACAAGTTTATTTCTCTAAAAGTGGCAGACATGCATGGGTCCATGCACTTGGGAGTTCATTTGAAAATGAGCTAAAAGAACAGTTAGTTGATGAAGATTATATACCCATAGAGTAAGTGAGTAAGATTCAGGATGCCTGTGTCAGCCAAAATTATAGTTTCCATAGAACAAGAGAGTGTCCCTAGGGTGCCTGGTTTCTGTCAGCCATAAACAAGGGGGTGTCATAAATATGAGAGTGTCAAGACAGAATAGTGTCCATGAAACAACAAAATAAGAGAAAGGCCATTAATCAAGATAGTGTCCAGTTCAAGGCACTTGATCCTTATCAGTCATAAACAGAAGAATGCTCCCAGTCAGTTTAGTTCTGAAGTTCACTCAGCATTTCAAAGGGACTCAAGTGGGATTCTACACCTCCTAAAAACTGAAAAGATTTGCATGAACTGGTTCAAAGTGAAGTGAGCAGAACCAGGAGACCATTGTACACAGTAATAGCAATATTATATGTTGAAGAATTGTTAATGATATAGAGAATCTCAGCAATACAATGATCCAAGACAATCCCAAAAGACTCATGATGAAGCATACTATCTGCCTCCAGAGAAAGAATTGATACTGTCTGAATACAGACTGCAGCAGGCTATTTTGCACTTTCATTCTTCCTTCTTTCCTTCCTCCCTCCCTCCCTCCCTCCCTTACATCTGTCCTTCCTTTCTTTCTTCCTTTGTGTTTTCTTCCTTTTTTTCTTTCTTTTTTAAATTTGAGTCTTCTTGTGCAAAATTATTCATATGGAAATGTTTTACATGATTGCACATGTATAAACTATATTGGATTGCTTACCATCTCAGGCAGGAGGGAGGGGAGAATGGAAGGGAGGGATAGAATTTGGAACTCAAAACCTTTTTAAAAATGTTTAGGGGGTAGCTAGGTGGCGCAGTGGATAGAGCACTGGCCCTGAGGACCTGAGCTCAAATTTGACCTCAGACACATAACACTTACTAGCTGTGTGACTCTGGGCAAGTCACTTAACCCCAATTGCCTTGCCAAAAATAAATGTTTAAACATTATTTTAACATGTAATGGGAGGGGGGAATAAAACATTATAAATTTTTTTAAAAAAAGACAAAGAACCTCCTAATTAGCCTCACTGACTCATCTCTTTCCTCTTTGATCCACCCTCCCATTTAACTGCCAACATGATATATATCTATCTATCCCAATAGATCTCTATAAGCACTTATATAGACCTATGGAGATAGATATCTTCCTACAAAGCTGATCCGTGTCATTCCCCAGCTCAAGTTCCTGTAGCTCTCTGACTCCTGTAGGTTCAAATACAAATTCTTGTTTGGCATTTAAAATCCTTCACAACCTGGCTCTTCCCTACCTTTCCAGGTTTATTATACTACTAGCATTTACACACACACTCTACAATCCAGACAAACTGGTCTTATTGTTCCTTATCTTATCTTATCTTTCTTCACACATTAAATTCAATCCTCCCATCCATGTGCCTTTGTACAGGCTGTTGTTGCCTGGAACATAGTACCCCCTCACCTTTGCCTCTTGCAATTCCTAATTTCCTTCAAAGATCAACACAAGCACCATCTATCTCCTAACCTAAGACCTTTCTGATCCCTCGTCCCCTATGCTGGTTCCTCCCCTTGGAAATCAGCTTATATTTTGTATCTATTTTGTATATGATTATTCTGATACACTATTTCCCCTGAAAGAATATAAGATCCTCAAAAGCAGGAACTGTTTCATTTTTATCTTTTTATCCCCCCTACTGGCTCAGAGTAAGCATACTTTTGGTATCAAAAATCTAAGTAACAATGAACGAACTAAGGCAATATTGTATAAATTTATGGAGATAACCTTCTGTTACCAAAGACAGAATCTAAGTATCTAGCCGGTCCTAATACTTAAAAAGGCTTTC